TCAACATCACTACAGACGCTTGCCCATTTGGCATCGGGGGCACGCTTCGGGTGTCGGGAGAGCTCGTAGAAGCGTTCTCCGCGGACCTACCTGAGTTTGAGCTCCTGAAGTTTAAAGCCAGACGCGGCGAGTCCAAATTCACCACGCTGTGGGAGGCGTTGGCCTTGCTTGTGGCCTGTCGCCTGTGGCTACCCAGGTTTGAAGGGAAAGCCAGAATTCATTGTAAGAGCGACAGTTTAGCGCTGCTGCTCTCGCTAGTGAAGGGACGGGCAAAGGCACCAGACCTAGCCGTCGTCTCCCGCGAGTTTTCCATCGATATGGCCAGGGACAAGTACAGGCTGCACCTCTTGACACACATACCGGGCATCACCAACATTGAAGCAGATGCCCTGTCAAGGGTGTACGCACCAAACCCTCCGGTTTTACCAAAGTCTTTGGAGGGAGTCCCAAGGGCCGAAGTCCGCCTAGGACCAGACTTCTGGATCGTCGACGCGTAGTCGGTGCAAAACAGGGCGCAACGCTGCGAGTGGGCAGGGGGCAGTTCACCAGCATCCCCGTTCACAGCAGGGCATGCAACCTGTCTCAGTTGGGCACACGTCAGCGCCATGAGAGGCTCAAAGAGGACGGCTCCTCCGGACCTCCCGGTGCTGGGTGCCCATGATAGGAAGAAGGGACCATTCCAGCCACTGCGGGAGGGATTTGCCATTCCCAGACGGGACGCCCAACCTTCCGCCAAGGTGGAGGAGCGTCCCTCGTCGGGAGGCGGTCCCAAACCGTACGGCCGGGGTTCCGCCGAGACTGCGCTAGCATGCATAACGGACCCTCGGTCCTGCAGCAGTGCGCTCAGGGCAGACATTAGCGCTGCAACCACCAAGGGGCCCACGGCCTCCAGAAAGCAACTCTGGGCAGCCCTGGCTACAAAAGCCGGCTACGAGGACCCATTCTACCTTGAGCCGGACCGCATCTTCGAGGTGATGGGTGCCCTCAAACTTGCTGGGTTCCGTTCTGCGCAGCTGTACCTGGACACGGCCAAGTCCCAGCACATTGCGGCCGGGTACGGCTGGACCTCTCAGCTGCAGCAGGCCTACAGAGCCGCAGTGCGTAGCTGCAATCGTAACCTGGGTAACCCTAAGCAAGCCGCTCCGTTACCCCTGGCAGAGTTAGCAAGCCTACAGGGTGAAGAGCCACTTGCCCGCTCTGGACCCAAGTGGCCCGCGCGCTCGGCTCTGTTGGCATCCTGGTGGCTCCTCCGGGAGATTGAGGCGTCGAACTCCATCCGAGGCCACATCACGGTTCACGAGGAGGACAAGAAGATCGACTGGCGCCTTCCCAACTCCAAAACCGATTGGAGAGCGTTGGGAGCCACCCGGAGCCACACCTGCTCTTGTGAGCTCGCTCCGGTTGCACAGTGTCCCTACCACAACATGGTGGACCATCTGGCCGAGCTGGGCAAGGACCCGTCCACACCGATTTTCCCAGCCGCCGATGGAAATCCCGCGTCTAAAACCGGGTGGGCTGACACATTTGAGGAGCTGGGCAAGATCCTCAAGCTGCCGTGCACCCACCCCAATGGGGCCAGATGCTTCACAGGGCACACAGCTCGAGCATCTGGAGCAGTACACCTGGCAGCAAGTCAGGTAGAACTTTGGAGAATCCAGCTGTTTGGGCGCTGGGCAGCCAAGTCTTCCTGCAGCACATCAGAGATGCACCTCTGAAACAGCTGGACAAGTTAGCATTGGAGACATCGGTTCACTTGTCGCTGTCTACGGCAAAGGCTCAGCTCCAGGACTTGATGCGCAGGGCACAAACGGGGTTGGCAACAACGCTGGCATGCCCGACCCCGGACATGCTAGGGGACTGCGAAGCATCAATTGGGGACTTGGAGCCTCCCAAGATCACGGACCCCATCGTCATCAACCTCAACGGAGGAAAGACCCATCGGTCATTAGTGTACGGAGATGATTTTCATCCCAAAGAATGGAGAACACGGTGTGCTTGGCGATTTGGCGGGCCACACACCAATTTTGAAATCTCCAGCGATCTCCCTGACCCGAAGGTCGCTTGCAGGAAGTGTTTTCCGGAGCTGAAGAGCCAAGCAGCGTCGTCTTCCTCGGGGTCCTCCTCTTCTTCTTCGAAGTCAGATAGCAATTCATCTTAGACCCGCTCAACTACACTAAGCAAGCAGGATAATTCTTGGGCCGTAAGTGGAAGTTGGCAACAGGCACAGTTTGATCTACCTGTCTTGGGTGCAGATCCGAAAAGGAGATGTAACAGACAGGTCAGATGCCAACCAAACTTTTGGCCAATTGTGTAAAATAACCCTGCTTGGTGGGTGGAGGGGTCTGCGTAGGCATAGCTTGTCTCATAATTACATTCATGTAGGTGGGACATGTGATGCCTGAGCTTGGTTGAGGTGAATCCCCCCGGTGCCAATTTTGGCTCAAGGGTGGGGCTTCAATCGCCCGCCCGACCACGCCCTGAAAATGGGGTAAGGGCACAGTTTGATCTACCTGTCTTGGGTGCAGATCCGAAAAGGAGATGTAACAGACAGGTCAGATGCCAACCAAACTTTTGGCCAATTGTGTAAAATAACCCTGCTTGGTGGGTGGAGGGGTCTGCGTAGGCATAGCTTGTCCTGTGAATCAATTTCATTCAATTCCCCAGCATGTTTTGTTTATTTTGCAAAGTTCAGCGAGTGGTGAATGTGTATCGCAATTGTGCGCGTGCGCGTGCGTCTCTTTGCTACAGTCTCACCAGCATGCTTGGCTTGCAAAAGTTTGTGCTGTATATGCTAAGGGTGCCTGTGATGGGACCAAGCCACATGTTGTTCAACTGCTTGGACAACTAGCGAGAGCTTTGAGAAGATGTGCCTTCTCTGGGATCTCGTTTCTTATGATATATGATATATTCTAAAAATATATAGATGAAACTGATGAAACCGTGTCCAAAATAGATCTTCTTTTCCAACAAGCGGAGTCTTTCCCCTAGCATTCAAGCTGCAGCTTCGGCTGCTTGGATTTTGGATCCTTGTCGCCTTGTCGCAGGTCCTGATGTGGAGGATTTTGTTCCGGCAACGCCCATGTCAAGTCTTCCTGCGACGCAGGGTCCTCGCCAGCAACATGAATTGTCTAAATGAATTTTGTTCTGCCCATGTTGATGCTAGACAATTGACACATTGTGGACCACTGGATGGGGACAGCAAGGCCTGCCATGGGCCCCTCTCCCGTTTGATGCCTCAGTTGCTGGTGGTTTCTCCCGATTCGAAGCCCCTGCAGCTCGCGAAGCTGAGGCATCTCCAAGCGGCCAAAGCGGCCTCTTTTCGAGATTGTTTTCGAGATCAGAGGCCAAGCGGCCACCAAGCGCCCACCAAGCGCCCACCAAGCCACCACCAAGCGGCCAAGCGGCTTGTTTTGTCCATGCCAAACGCTTGAATTTTGCCGACCGGCTTGGACTCCTGGACCAATACCCAGATCCTTTGTCATCTTGTGAGGGCGGATCGAGACCATCCACCCCAAGCTTGCGGCCAGACGGTGGGCACCTTATGACTTCCACACCAACCACACCTCCAAATGGAGAAGGTGCAATAAGAGAGGAAACTTGGTACTTCTGCAGCAGCGAACTCAACAAAGCCTTAGATAATGAATGACATTGAATGACAATGAGCTTTGAGGCACACCACCTGCATCTCCTGCCATGAGTGCGTCCAGCAGGAAGGCAACGACCGTTTGACAGTAGCCAGATGGCTTTGGAATCTCCTTGTAGAAAGAACAAGGTCAGCGGCCAGCGCAACAATTCAAAGTCACAAACTGGATTTGCCACAAAGATTATCTAAGGTTTGCCTCATTTGGAGGCTAGATAATCAAGACAAATCCTCTTCCTTGATTACGGCTCTGAATGAAATGTTGAGGATGCAAAATTTATATTTGTTTATTTTATTTTTTACTTTTCCTCAGCCCTCCTTAGCTCCTTTATTTTTGCCCGTTCTGTTATTAAAGAAGGATTGTGCAATAGGATTCAAAGAGTTTGCCCTTCATTGTGGATGACATTCTTGGGCCGGAGGTGCGCGGGCCTGCTGGCAAGACACTGCGGTCAGTCAGGTGGGGATGCATCATATCAGCAAGACCGGCAAGACCTGCAAAATGCTGTGACAAGAGAATCAGATAGAATCAGAATGCTCAGCATTCCCCATTCCCCCTCTTTCTTTTTTTTTCCATCTTGGTGTCTCCAGGAATTGTTTCTGTGAGACATCCTTTCTGGCTGCGCCTCATGTTAGACTTTCTTTTTGGGTTTGCTTCGTACAATTGCTTGCTGCTCCTCTGGCTCAGATATTCTCTCTGCAGGCAGTTCAGATTGTCAAAATTTGTCAAAGACATCACAAAATAATTCCATTTTGGAGTGTTGCTTTGCCAACGCCTGCAGACCCATCCAGGGTCGGACTCCCAAAGTGGAAGGATCCGAACATGGCTGCGCGGGCAGCTATCCATCTACGTGGTAAATATGAAGTGGGTGACTTGCTCGGTGAAGGCGCAATTCAGAAAGCAACCTAACATAGGGCTGTGGTGTTTCGCCTGAATTTCACGGTATCGGCGGTAGCAGTATCAAAAGACCAAAAGATATCAAATGTCCATATTAGATTCCGAGTAAAGTCGCTGAATTGAGAGTTGTCCGCTGAGTCGCTGAGTTGTTGTTTTTGCAGTTTTCACGTGGACTGCATGCGGATGAGTCGGATGAGACTGTTTCTTTGAGATTGGACTGTGCGTTCAGACACTGGCACAGCCCCTGAGATCTGAAACGAGATGGTTCAAATTGCCATAAATTGCCAACCGGGTGAGAAGTTACGATGTAGTTGCAAGCTATGATTCTGTTATATTCTGTTTGTGGGGAGCCGGCCTTTCAGATCCATTCACTTTCGAGAACTTCTCAGCTTTCTGTTTGCTCTTTGTTATTTTGACTAAGAATTGGTATCTTCACTTAGTGACTTAGTGCAACATCACATCATTTTGTAATCTTATTTTTTTTTGTAAACATTTGGTTTGTCATGTGCAGGCTTCGGTGGCTTTGTCTACGCTTGCAAGAGATATGGAGACGACTACGCCTTGGCAGCAAAGGCGCGTCGAAGCTATGGGAAGACTTAGACACCTTAAACTGGCTTCATACAGACAAAATAGTGATGGACTTTTCAGTCCCGTTGAGACCTTCATAGGCTTGCCATTTCCCAGGCATACCCGGGCATTAGAATCTGTGGCAGCTCTTTCTGTTGCTTTGTTCAGAGTAAGAGTCCGACATGGGCCTCCACAGACTTTGCGCATCCAATTTCTTGGCTTTCAGCACTTGTCATGTTTGAGTCACACGTTCGACGTGTTCACGGCCTCGAGGTGTGTGCCCAGAGGCATGGCGCAGCAGAAGAAATGCGCGCTGAAGCCCAGCTCCTTCGCAGCCTATGTCATAGCTGCTTGGTGGATGGTGGACCTTGGCGGATGTGCCAATGGTTCACGAACGGACAAACGACAAGCGGTGTCAACGCAATACCAGCAGGTTTTTGAAATTGGGTTGAGGAGTGGTAGGGCCTGGATATTTGCGAGATTTTCTGAGCCTTTCTTGATTTTAGGCTCAATTATGAAAGTCCACGACGTTTTTGATGACGGCAAATCTGTCTACTTTGTCATGGACCGCATGCATCACGACCTCTTGGATGGACTCTTGGCCGAGGGTTCAACAGTTCAAGGTTTCAACCTTTTCAACCCATGTGTGGGTTGTATTAAAGTCTCGTTTTTGTCAGAGGAATATTGAATAATTAATTTGAATATCTACTCACTCTGACATGGTTGCTTGTGTCTCGTAGATGCTTGACCTGGTCTTTGCATGAGTGCATGAGTTTGTATGTTATGAGTCGCTTGACAGCTCATTCATATATGTATAGGAAGATCCTCTTGGTCACCACTGGTTCAGGCACATCTGATTTCCTGATCAGTTTGACCTGCTTAGGCATGTTCAACAATTCTTGCTTCCTGCAGGAATCTGAAAGAAAGAGATGCGCGCACACACAACATAAGAACATTGTTTAACATTGAACACTACACGAAGAATCTTACGAAAGGATGTCTCACTTCATGATGGTGTACTGCAACCTCGGTGAAACTGATGGCCAGGATTGGACCTCTATGTCATGAGGCCGAAGTCCAAACTTGGAAGAATGAAAGCAATGAAAGGAATGGGAGAGTGTGACATAGAATGGAAGAACAAGACACAAAGGAATCATTGATGAGAGAATATCAGAATCTTGTTGCGGCAGTCAGATCTAGTCACATACCTGTGGTATCCTGTGGTGTTCCATTAGGAGCAAGCTCCAGATGCCAGAATAGTCTTCCGCGTGTTGCCAGGGAAACGGCTAACGTGAACGGCTTGGTGCACATAGTTCGGCAAATGGCAGAGGCAGTGAAATACCTGCACAGTTTGTCCATTGTCCATCGCCAGAGGCTGAGGCTAATTGTTGTGCCTGGTCTCTTTATCTAACACTAATGACTCAATGACGCAATACTAAGCAAGTCAGCCGAGGTGACATCAAGCCAGAAAATTTCTTGACCGACAGGGAAAGGCTGAGAGAATCTTGGCCAACTTCAGCAGCCCCTGTGGCAAACGCATTCAAACACAATTGGTAGTTCTCCCTTTTGCACCCAGAGCAGAAAAAAGAACATGCTGTTCAGACATGTTGAGGCCGCATCTCAAGAATCCAATTGAATCTAATTCGTGAGCTGGGAGGATCCTCAATGTCATGTCGTTCTGGCAGACTTTGGTTCAGCCTGCAAGATTACGCAGACTCGCTTGGCCGACCAGGTGCGATGCAAGAGTTACCAGTCGATACCAAGTTGAAACATGAAAAGTGCAGAGATCATGTTGCAGATGTCGCAGGATTTACTGCGGCGTTTGCCCAGACAAAACATGATAAACATGATAAACCACCTGGCAGTCCTAGTAATTCCTGGTGCCACCACATCGCAACGTATTGAGTTATTCTCTTGTCTCAGGTTTGTTTAAGGCGGACAAACACAATCAAACGAATCAAACATATCAAACATATATATTACATATATCATATATGGGCCAAGGGCAGGACAAGTCCTTGCTGGGAAGTTATAGATGTGATATGATGTGATATTGGAACAGGCTCAACGCGGCACCAAAAGTTACCGGCCTTGAGCCAGGTGGGAACCATGGTCTACTGGGCTCCAGAGATGTACGCGACTTGCCCGCATTGTCGCCGCATTGGACGCCTCCCACTTTACGCAATTAAGCAAAACCTGAAGTGTCAGAGCGAAGGCGTTTCAATGACTGAGGACAAGAACTATGGCTTGAAGGTGGATGTGTGGGCATTGGGGATTTGCCTCCATTGCATGGTTCGTCTCCCAAATTTGAATGCTTGTTACACTTGTTACACTTGTTACACTTGTTACACTTGTTACACTTGTTACAATAAGCCAGACTGCTTGGCGTCACCCCTCTTGGCTCATCGCTGCGGGACCAAGGCTAGCAATGCCTTTCCTTTCGATGATGAGCAGCAAGTCCGTACAAAGGAAATCGGCCTCCACAGTATCAGCTCATCCTGTGTTTTGGCATACTTTGATGTCTATGACTTTCAATATTTTCAATGATGTTTGCATCAGGGTGACGTTTTCCAGTGAGCTTATTTTCTTGTGATGCTTTTCTTCAGTAGATTTCGATGGGTTTAGAATCGGTTGAGAAGGTTAGAGGATAGTGCCTGGTGCACTGGCCAAGGTAGAGATTTGATTTCAACGATGCTTGTCAAGGTAGGTAGACGGGTTCTGATTGATTCTGGGCAGATCATGGCAGATCCACCGTGGCAAATGCAACCAAAATAACATGCAGCACATATAACATGGAACTTGTAACATATTTGCCACTATATATATATACTGTAAGACTGGAAGTGAATATATGTTACATGGTATTAAAACATGTTAACATGAAGCGAGGGCAAGAAGTAAATCTGAAGAAACTCCTGTCCCTCGAGTCTTTGGTAACATTGATTTGACATGATTTGACTGGGAGTGGGGACTGGTTGGCAGACTAAATTTCGTGGAGGTACAGGATAAGTGTAGGCCGGGCTAGAGACGGCTAGAGATGTACTTAGACATGACTTGGTGACTCACGGTTCCCTTTCGCGATTTTTCGCCTACAGTTCTTGGAAGGCCGAAGCGGATCGCATCAGCATGGAAGATGTCCTCTGGCATCCATGGCTCACAGGCCAACCAACAGAGAATGCGATCTCCGACATTGTGCCACGACGCAAAACAAAAAGGATCAAAAAGGATCAAAGGGCTTAGACTGCCATATCAGATGGTACAAGAGTCCACTGTAGACATTTTAAAGCCTATTCTTCGGATTGAACGACTCATTTTCTAGTCAGGGTGTTTGTCATTCGACATATTCGACGATGCAGTAAGAACGATCAGGCCGTTGGCCAGGGACGCAGCTTGAACCATCCGAGGATACAGAAGACTCATCACCTCTTTGGAAGTTGAGCCACTCAGAAATGGTCGAAACTGCGTCGAAACCGGGTCCAAATCACACAAACTGCAATGACTGCAATGGACAAAGATCAACCGATGGAACCGATGTGAGTTGAGATGCCGCCTGAGGTTGTTTCCTGATGTCAGTGAGTGGCGACTTCCCTCCTTCTCACGCCCCCGCAAGACCAAAAGGATTTGGCCCTTGGCATTGGCATCGCTTATTAGTGGCATTTGCGTTGCAAAGATGGCTTTGCGATTTTGCCCAGGCCAGGTTGCCGCCGGGATTGCTTTGACACTTTGACACTTTGACACAAGTTCCGGACAGTTCACCAAGTTCAACATAGCGAGTTTCTTTCGGCTCCGGGGCTCGACTCCAGGTTGGGACAATGCAGCACCTTGGAAGCCTCCAGGTATACCTGCCTCTTACTTGAAGTTGAAGCCTCTACGTACAGGAAAAAGTGTTGGATTGGTCTGGCGCAGCCACACCGCTCGAAAGGTCCGATGATCCTCCGAGGGAATTGCCTCTGAGTTGTATCGGATCCACGATACGACGATATCGATACGAATTCCATGGGACTCGAAGCTAAGTTCTTTCGATTGTGAAATTGTCATGACACACTTACATAGAATTTCGGCGCTTACAACGCTTGCAGAATGTTGGCATCCACAGTCTTAAGATTCGATTTCTTTTGAATCACACAAGAGGCATTCAGAGTCCTAAATTGAAGGTATAGCTCGGATATCCGAGAGTGTCTGCTGCGCTGCTGTTCCAGACCCCCTACGTTTCGATCAAAGGGGATTTCAATATGCTGCGACTTTGTCTCACTTTCGTCGTGATTTCCCTGATTTCCGTGTCTTCCCATGAGAGTCACGGTCACAATCATCTCTTTTACATGTTTCTCGCTGCACAGCCCTTTGTTGTGGCTCTTCAAGCCCTTTAAGCTGGCAAGTTGTTTCATATCGACTACCAGCTTCTATCTTTTGACTGATGCAGATTCAGCCGATCGCAACATACAGTCTGAAGCAGTTCAAACAATGCAAAGATACATCAGATATCATCAGATATAGATATATTTCAGAACTCAAGCTTACTACCATGCAGTGAAGAGTTTGGGAATTGACATCCATCTGATGTTGTGCCCCGCGAACCACATAATTCATTCTGTTGACTTGGTACAAAGATATCGACAGAATCTGCACCGGACTTGTGAGTTCAAGATCTCTGATATGACACAGGGTGGGTTACAGACGCAGGGACTGCCAAGTTCTAGGCTTTAGTCTTAGGCAAACTTTGTGTTTTTGACTTCACCTCAAGTTAATTATTTTAACTAGGATTATTTCAATTGATATGAATGAATCAGGTATGTTTTCATTGCGACCTGATTCAGGTGTCCCATGTGCTGTGGCCATGACCAAAATTTCTGAGATCCAATCCCCTGTTGCCCAGTCAAATGGCTGTCATGCGAGGCTGCGGGGATGGCCAGCTAAGGTGGCACGCCCGAAAACAGCTGCGGCACGCCTGTTTGTCGTGTCTGTTTTGTTTGTTTTGTTTGATGTTTCAATATGTTTCAATTGCATTGTGGATCTTGAATGATCTTGAATGATCTTGAATGATCTTGAATGATCTTGAATGATCTTGATGGATTTTGTGGATTCGTCTGAAAAAAGCTGCTGACTTGGCAAGGAAGGCGACAGAACTTCTCCAACCTCTTCCGATGCAAGTGCAGTTGGCACCACAAGGCGAAGGACAGAAATGGAGCGAAATGACAGAAATGGACAGAATCGGGCAGAAGCTTCAGCGAGTCATCACTTCACTGGTGGTCTTAATAGTATATTTCATACACATATATATATATATATCATATATATATATATATGTATACATGTAAAACAATATTTTGTATATTATGTGGTCATTTATGTTCACACTGCGCTGACTCTCTGCAGCTGTTCCTGGGTTCCTGGAGTAAAGAGCGGCACACAAGGAGCCAGCAAGAACGCCAAAAGAAATGAGCAACTTGGCAGACCTTGGTAGACCTTGGTAGACCTTGGTAGACTTTGGCAGACTTTTGTAGCTTTGTCACATCTCAATCTCTTTCCAATGACCACGCAATCTCCATCTCAAGCGTGGTAGAGGCGTCGCAGGCAGCGGAAGCACAGTGAAGAGGTACGATGATTCATCTTGGATTCGGGTGTGGCATGATGGTAGCATCAACATCGATCAGCACGGATCAACAGGAAATAAAGCCTGGAGACGGGCTCCAAGACTGAACAGTTCAGCACATGCATCTGGCTGTCAGGATGGTGCCTCTGATTCGTCTGGCTGGACTATCGCGTCCGCAACTCGCAACAGGGTCCTTCTGTGTTTTCCAAGCCATCAGCTGCACCACCGGAATCCACAAGAAGGTTCCGTTGATCCTGATAGCTCACAGATACCTAATTTATCACATATTATCACATTCTCTTACATGGGTTACACGGGTTGTCGGAAACCACTTCAGTTTGGGTAAAAGCAGACACATCGTGATTTGGTCTGATTTCCTTTCCTTGGATAGCGGGCCGGGTCCTTCCCGTCCCCGGAGGGCCCGCGCGCCCGTAGAGCGCATAAGGGCCCGTCAGAAGGTCTTTTTATCCCCATGTATGGTCTGTAATCGTAAGGCCCGCAGGGCCAGCAGGGCCCGTAGAGCCCGTGGAGCGGGAAGGGCTCTTCTCTAGCGGCAAGGATTGCCCTTCATCCAAGCCAGACGGACTGTCAAACAGTGGTTTTATCAGGACCACAAAGCACACAAAGCGCAGCTTAGGTGTGGAGGTGATCCTGAATTTCCGTACAGCCCAGCCATGAGGAGTTTCGAAGACGCCTAGGACATGATCCCATCGCAATCGATAATCAGTGCATATGATGCAGGATTGCAACGCGGCAAGTCTCTTCGTCTTCCCATGCATCGCATGAGGTGTTCAAAGCTTAGAGTTGGGAAAGCAGTGTGTTGCAGTTTAGCACGTGGTCTTTAAGGGTCTTTGAGGGTCTTTAAGGGTCTTGATGGGATAGCCTTTTTGACTTTCGCAGCTTTTACATCTTAAATTGTGCAACTTGCTTGATCAAAGCTGCAGGGAGATGACCTGATGATTCCACACCTGTACATTCCCACCTGTACATTTCAAACAGAATGCTTATATAAATATAAATATAAATATAAATATAAATAAATATCTATATATACATTATAGATATGCTTACATATGCAACAATGATTATGCTGATTTTTTTTTCACACCGACCAGCTTTCCCAAAGGCCTGACTTGGAACTACCGCCTCCTGTGGAGGAGACCAAGGAGGACCCGGGACAGCGTTTCTGTAAACGCCTCTGTCATAAAGATTGTTTTGATATGTTTTGATTCTGATTGTTCCGACCTATCTGTAGCTTAACTTGGAAACAGAATGAAACAATATGAAACAATATGAGACAATAAGAAACGATAACATATACAACAAGTGAATGAAGCCTTGCTGTACACAGAAATGTCAAAATGTCGCTGCGTGACTGCGTGGCTCTGAGAACTCCAAGAAGGACACAAAGGACACGAAGAATCCCAAGGAGACGGAGAAAGACGAGATGGACGAGAAGAACGAGAAGGACACGGCAACACAACAGGGTCAAGGCACTGGGAGACTCGGCGGTCGTGTCATTTCGATTTCGAATATTTCCATGTCATGGCCATGGCTTGAGAGTTTTCCACATATTTCCACATTGTGCTTGGCAAGGGTCATAGCATGTCATAGCATGTCATAGCATGTCATAGCATGTCATAGCATGTCATAGCATGTCATAGCATGTCATAGCATGTCATAGCATGTCATAGCATGTCATAGCATGTTCTTCATGGTAGATTTTCTGCGCAAGATGCAGGAGAAGACTGAGCATTCAAAGCACAAACAGCCTCTTGGCATGAACTTCAATGAACTGGTCATAATAGTCACTGAAACTTCTCACATGGTGTAGCACGAGTTGTGGAAAGAACATGCAACTGTAAGTTGTAAAGCTTCGTAGTCTGAGGTCTGCAGAATTCTGGTCATAGCACCAGAGCATTTTCGTGCGTATACCATCTGTATGCAATTGACATCTGGTTTTGATGTATTTTAAATAGCTCAATTCAGATCTGTGAGGAAGAAGAAGAGCAAAAGGAAATAGCTGAGTAGCTGGAACGAACATGTCCGGTCTCACAGTTTCCTTGAACCTTTGGCGCAAATGATTTTTTTGAAAGCACTTCCAACTCCCAGTGAACCATGTTCAGATCAGAGCTTTCATGATTTTCATGTGTTTTTCATGTGCTTTTCATGTGCTTTATGAATGAACTCATCCTTCTCCATACTTCCAGCAGCTGCCCCTTTTGGCAGCGCGGAAAGACTCACAGAGGACAGTCACGGAGCTGTAGCTCGGACTGTACTATACAGATCTATACAGACCAAAAACACTTTATATTTCTATACATCTCTTTACCACTTCACGAAGTTTGCATCTCTTTGCCAGTTTTTGGCTTGTAGAGACTTGGCAGGTCGATTCATGCCAAATTGTTTGAGAAGCTTTGCTGTCCACTTGTACATAGCAAATATACCTTCAAAAGACTGGCACTTCGGCTTCCAAAAGGTTGTCCTTGAATATCTCATCGGAATTCATCTTATCGGAGGGTCACTTGAGCTGGACACTTTAGATTGTTGGACCATGTTGGAATGCTCCAGTGGCGAGTCTGGACGAACATTCCATTGGACATCTATTCGTTGCTTTCGCCGTAAATTGGCTCAACACTCCGGCCTGCTTAGGGCGGATACAGGCGGGCAAGACAGCTGGATGTGTGGTGAAGTGGGAATGGTAAAATGTCCTGGAAAGAATAAACAGTATTGAGATGCGTTCTCTGACCTCTTGTAATTTTTGTATCTCTTTGTGAAGTTCGTTGCAACATGTGACACACAGAAAGTACACCCTGCTTTTTGGTAGATGGAACATCTATTTGCTCCAGTCTTTCACCTTTTTCCATCATTTTTCCTTTCCGTCTTTCTTGGCAGACGACTATGCCGCAATTTCTAGACAAGCAGAATCTTTCCTCGTTTTGCAGCTTTCGTTCTTTTCATTCCTTTCATTCTGGACCCTGCCAGGCACGGCTGAATACCCAGAATCCGCAGTTCTTCCAGTCAGGCACCAGACCTGAAGCACATTTTCTCAGCTCCGAGACTTTCCAAGCCCCCCCAGTCAAAGAGCCCCATCCTGCAAGTTCGAAGCACAACACCTTGTGATCCTTGTGCAAAGCGCACCACATATAAAAAACGCGCACGGCCTGCCTCACTTTGTGCTTCAACTCTCCGGAGTGGGAACCTCAGAGGTTCACAGAGGCTCATACAAGGCTCATGCACGGCTCATGCAAGGCTGATGATGCTTGTCTGTGTCCGTGTCATGTTTGAAGATGGTCTCGGTGTGGCATGCGAGCATACCAGTGGGACATCACTTTGTTGAAAGCTGGCAGGCACGTCACAATTGTCATTTCATGTTATTGCCATAGTGACATGAAGCGATCAACTTCTCCAAGGCAAAAACTGCAGCCATGAGTGACCGCAAGCGCATGAGCATCGGGGCAGTGACTACGCCCATTCTGGGATCGCGATCTAGTGCCACCACCGAAAGAGAGGTGCAGATCCGTGAGGGGACTGCTACCTCCCACTGCATCACATTGCTTGCCTTGCACTTCTTTTTGAAGACATGAAAACCATTTCGGGGGAAATTTTTAAACAGATGGACTCTGTCGCCATGTGGCCACTTTAATGTCAAGCAGAATGCAAAGCGAAAAGCGTATTTTGAAACTTTCTCTCTGTCTCTGTCCAGGCTGGCATTGCTGAGGTGGGTTGCTGCGGGGGTTTGATGGAGGTCTGGAATCCATCTTCTTTGCCGTGGAATTGGGATAACCTCATGGACTGGTGACACGAAAATGCACGCCCCGAAAAACCGGAACAGTCCTGGAACCTTGCTGGAACCTTTCGCCGTTGGGTTGCAAAGCTGGGCTAATTATTGATTCAACATGGACTGTTTATTGCTGGCCTCCCTTTGTATTTCACTTTTGGCACACTACGGTTCAATACACTTCAAGCCATTTTTGACACAGTCTGGAACGTTGAAAGTTTGAAATCACGGAAGGGAATGAATGCAAGATTTAATTAAGATCAAATTGTGTTTCAATGCTTCATGATCTGTTTGCGTTTCCAGGTCAATGGTGCACGGCTCAACTCGAGAATTAATTCTCTACCTTTGAAGCCTAGAACAATATCTTTTGAGGGAATTAAATCTTGAGTTAATTCTGTTCATATTGGCTCTGATACTTCCTGCTCTTTCTTCCCTCTTCTTCTCTACTCTGCTTGTATTTATTCTTCCCTCGTCTTTTCAACTCTTTTTTTTTCTCCTTTACCTTCTCCATCCTTCTGATTCTTTCCCTTTCTCTTCTCTACTCTTTTCATGTAGTCTCTTTAAGTGCACTTGCCCGAAGTTTAACTGCAATAGTTGATATAGGATCTCTTTTGAGGGAATTACATCTTGAGTTAATTCTGTTCATATTGGCTCTGATACTTCCTGCTCTTTCTTCCCTCTTCTTCTCTACTCTGCTTGTATTTATTCTTCCCTCTTCTTTTCAACTCTTTTTTTCTCCTTTACCTTCTCCATCCTTCTGATTCTTTCCCTTTCTCTTCTCTACTCTTTTCATGTAGTCTCTTTAAGTGCACTTGCCCGAAGTTTAACTGTAATAGTTGATATAGGATCTCTTTTGAGGGAATTAAATCTTGAGTTAATTCTGTTCATATTGGCTCTGATACTTCCTGCTCTTTTTTCCCTCTTCTTATCTACTCTGCTTGTGTTTATTCGTCCCTCTTCTTTTCAACTTTTTTTTTCTCCTTTACCTTCTCCATCCTTCTGATTCTTTCCCTTTCTCTTCTCTACTCTTTTCATGTAGTCTCTTTAAGTGCACTTGCCCGAAGTTTAACTGTAATAGTTGATATAGGATCTCTTTTGAGGGAATTAAATCTTGAGTTAATTCTGTTCATATTGGCTCTGATACTTCCTGCTCTTTCTTCCCTCTTCTTCTCTACTCTGCTTGTATTTATTTTTCCGTCTTCCTTTCAACTCTTTTTTTCTCCTTTACCTTCTCCATCCTTCTGATTCTTTCCCTTTCTCTTCTCTACTCTTTTCATGTAGTCTCTTTAAGTGCACTTGCCCGAAGTTTAACTGTAATAGTTGATATAGGATCTCTTTTGAGGGAATTAAATCTTGAGTTAATTCTGTTCATATTGGCTCTGATACTTCCTGCTCTTTCTTCCCTCTTCTTATCTACTCTGCTTGTGTTTATTCTTCCCTCTTCTTTTCAACTTTTTTTTTCTCCTTTACCTTCTCCATCCTTCTGATTCTTTCCCTTTCTCTTCTCTACTCTTTTCCAGTAGTCTCTTTAAGTGCACTTGCCCGAAGTTTAACTGTAATAGTTGATATAGGATCTCTTGACAAGGAATTAAATCTTGAGTTAGTTCTGTTCTTATTGACTCTGATACCTCATGCTCTTTCTTCCCTCTTCTTGCCTACTCTGCTTGTATATGTTCGTCCCTTCTCTTTTCAACTCTCTTGTTTCTCCCTTTACCTTCTCCATCCTTCTGATTCTCTCCCTTTCTCTTCTCTACTATTTTCATGCAGTCTCTTTAAGTGCAATTGCCCGAAGTTTAACTGTAATAGTTGATATAGGATCTCTTGAGAAGGACATTAAATTTTGAGTTAATTCTGTTCATATTGGCTCTGATACCTCCTGCTCTTTCAGTCGGTATAGGATCTCTTGAGAAGGAATTAAATCTTGAGTTAATTCTGTTCAAATTGTCTCTGATACCCTTTTCTCTTTCTTCCCTCTTCTTCCCTACTCTGCTTGTATTTATTTTTCCCTCTTCTTTTCAACTCTTTTGTTTCTCCTCTACCTTCTCCATCCTTCTGATTCTTTCCCTTTCTCTTCTCTACTCTTTTCATGTAGTCTCTTTAAGTGCACTTGCCCGAAGTTTAACTGTAATAGTTGATATAGGATCTCTTGACAAGGAATTAAATCTTGAGTTAATTCTGTTCTTATTGACGCTGATACCTCCTGCTCTTTCAGTTGGTATAGGATCTCTTGAGAAGGAGTTAAATCTTGAGTTAATTCTGTTCAAATTGTCTCTGATACCTTCTGCTCTTTCTTCCCTCTTCTTCCCTAATGTTGTCTAGCCAATAGTGATATCTTGTCAATAGTAGAAACATTTTTCCGCAACTCCATTTTTTCTCCAATACTAAAAGTCAATTAGCTCCAGTTACTTTTAGTATTGCCAAAAGAGTCATGTTCAGACCTTGTCCAGAGGGCATGGCCAATAGTGGACCCAACATGGCAATAGTGGAAACTGTTTTCCCAACTCCAATTTTTTCTCCAATACTAAAAGTCAATTAGCTCCATTTACTTTTAGTATTGCCAAAAGAGTCAAGTAAAGCAAGTCCTTTTCAAAGCAGCCTTCACTTTTGATTGGCAAAAGCTTAGATTCCAGAAATCTGATCCAATTACCAAACAGCTGATTTCCTTATAAAACCCTTATTAAAAAAAGCAAGAAAACAGCACAATGGGTACCCCCTTTGCAAGCCCCAGAATAGCAATAACAAACCTGCACCAGGCATGGCAATAGTGGAAACTTTTTTCCGCAACTCCAATTTTGTTGTCCTCCTTCTCCTTCTCCTTCTCCTTCTTCTCCTTTCCCACTCTTCGCCAATCTCTCAGAAACCCAACCAAATCCATTCAGAATCTATCAGAAACCCAACAAAACCATGGAGAATCTATCAGATACATATCATGATCCCAGCTATAAAGTTCCAAAAAATTACTATTGGAATGCTGACCCCCCCAATTTTCTAAAAAAAATATATATTTAGGGGGGATTTACTATTAGGAAGCCTACATTACTCTGCTTGTATTTATTCTTCCCTCTTCTTTTCAACTCTTTTTTTCTCCTTTACCTTCTCCATCCTTCTGATTCTTTCCCTTTCTCTTCTCTACTCTTTTCATGTAGTCTCTTTAAGTGCACTTGCCCGAAGTTTAACTGTAATAGTTGATATAGGATCTCTTTTGAGGGAATTAAATCTTGAGTTAATTCTGTTCATATTGGCTCTGATACTTCCTGCTCTTTCTTCCCTCTTCTTATCTACTCTGCTTGTGTTTATTCTTCCCTCTTCTTTTCAACTGTTTTTTTCTCCTTTACCTTCTCCATCCTTCTGATTCTTTCCCTTTCTCTTCTCTACTCTTTTCATGTAGTCTCTTTAAGTGCACTTGCCCGAAGTTTAACTGTAATAGTTGATATAGGATCTCTTTTGAGGGAATTAAATTTTGAGTTAATTCTGTTCATATTGGCTCTGATACTTCCTGCTCTTTCTTCCCTCTTCTTCTCTACTCTGCTTGTATTTATTCTTCCCTCGTCTTTTCAACTCTTTTTTTTTCTCCTTTACCTTCTCCATCCTTCTGATTCTTTCCCTTTCTCTTCTCTACTCTTTTCATGTAGTCTCTTTAAGTGCACTTGCCCGAAGTTCAACTGTGATAGTTGATATAGGATCTCTTTTGAGGGAATTAAATCTTGAGTTAATTCTGTTCATATTGGCTCTGATACTTCCTGCTCTTTCTTCCCTCTTCTTATCTACTCTGCTTGTGTTTATTCTTCCCTCTTCTTTTCAACTTTTTTTTTCTCCTTTACCTTCTCCATCCTTCTGATTCTTTCCCTTTCTCTTCTCTACTCTTTTCCAGTAGTCTCTTTAAGTGCACTTGCCCGAAGTTTAACTGTAATAGTTGATATAGGATCTCTTGACAAGGAATTAAATCTTGAGTTAGTTCTGTTCTTATTGACTCTGATACCTCATGCTCTTTCTTCCCTCTTCTTGCCTACTCTGCTTGTATATATTCGTCCCTTCTCTTTTCAACTCTCTTGTTTCTCCCTTTACCTTCTCCATCCTTCTGATTCTCTCCCTTTCTCTTCTCTACTATTTTCATGCAGTCTCTTTAAGTGCAATTGCCCGAAGTTTAACTGTAATAGTTGATATAGGATCTCTTGAGAAGGACATTAAATTTTGAGTTAATTCTGTTCATATTGGCTCTGATACCTCCTGCTCTTTCAGTCGGTATAGGATCTCTTGAGAAGGAATTAAATCTTGAGTTAATTCTGTTCAAATTGTCTCTGATACCCTTTTCTCTTTCTTCCCTCTTCTTCCCTACTCTGCTTGTATTTATTTTTCCCTCTTCTTTTCAACTCTTTTGTTTCTCCTCTACCTTCTCCATCCTTCTGATTCTTTCCCTTTCTCTTCTCTACTCTTTTCATGTAGTCTCTTTAAGTGCACTTGCCCGAAGTTTAACTGTAATAGTTGATATAGGATCTCTTGACAAGGAATTAAATCTTGAGTTAATTCTGTTCTTATTGACGCTGATACCTCCTGCTCTTTCAGTTGGTATAGGATCTCTTGAGAAGGAGTTAAATCTTGAGTTAATTCTGTTCAAATTGTCTCTGATACCTTCTGCTCTTTCTTCCCTCTTCTTCCCTAATGTTGTCTAGCCAATAGTGATATCTTGTCAATAGTAGAAACATTTTTCCGCAACTCCATTTTTTCTCCAATACTAAAAGTCAATTAGCTCCAGTTACTTTTAGTATTGCCAAAAGAGTCATGTTCAGACCTTGTCCAGAGGGCATGGCCAATAGTGGACCCAACATGGCAATAGTGGAAACTGTTTTCCCAACTCCAATTTTTCTCCAATACTAAAAGTCAATTAGCTCCATTTACTTTTAGTATTGCCAAAAGAGTCAAGTAAAGCAAATCCTTTTCAAAGCAGCCTTCACTTTTGATTGGCAAAAGCTTAGATTCCAGAAATCTGATCCAATTACCAAACAGCTGATTTCCTTATAAAACCCTTATTAAAAAAAGCAAGAAAACAGCACAATGGGTACCCCCTTTGCAAGCCCCAGAATAGCAATAACAAACCTGCACCAGGCATGGCAATAGTGGAAACTTTTTTCCGCAACTCCAATTTTGTTGTCCTCCTTCTCCTTCTCCTTCTCCTTCTCCTTCTCATCCTTCTCCTTTCCCACTCTTCGCCAATCTCTCAGAAACCCAACCAAATCCATTCAGAATCTATCAGAAACCCAACAAAACCATGGAGAATCTATCAGATACATATCATGATCCCAGCTATAAAGTTCCAAAAAATTACTATTGGAATGCTGACCCCCCTAATTTTCTGAAAAAAAATATATTTAGGGGGGGTTTACTATTAGGCAGCCTACATTGCTCTGCTTGTATTTATTCTTCCCTCTTCTTTTCAACTCTTTTTTTCTCCTTTACCTTCTCCATCCTTCTGATTCTTTCCCTTTCTCTTCTCTACTCTTTTCATGTAGTCTCTTTAAGTGCAATTGCCCGAAGTTTAACTGTAATAGTTGATATAGTTTAACTGTAATAGTGCAATTGCCCGAAGTCTTCTGGATTTCCCAATGAAAAGGAATTAAATCAAGATTTAATGCCCCAAAATGAAAGCCGCACACCATAAAAAAGAGTTGAATCAAGATTTAATTCCCCACAGATGGATACCTCCCCCTGGAATCTCCAGATGTCATTAGCAAAGAATTAAATCAGAATTTAATCCTCCCAAAATGATCCAGCAACAAAAGGGATTAAATCTCGAGTTCACACCTGGCAGGGACAGGTTGAAGTCTATCTGATGGTAACGGTTTAGATCGTGATTTAATTTTAATTGCGTACTGGAATCCACTCCTTTTGTTGAAATCACTGAATGTCACTAATTCTTCCTGCAAACTTCAAGAAAACACCGTAGCCTTCAAAGCTACCCGTTTCAGAGGTGAGTTTGTTTGCCACAATAAATCAGGTTTTCACCAAAGCCAGCGAAGAGAAACTGAAAGCCCTTTACGTCAGGAGCTCATCATCGCACCAGGAATAATATGTGTACAGACGGATATATGATTGTCTATGCATGTACGTCGTGTGTTTTATTCATGATCATGTCACCACTACGACCTAAAGCAGGGCAGTTTTCTCAACCCCTTTTTTTCTTTTTCCCGCAAAATTCGGGAAGGATGGGAAAGATGGAATACAGTCTCTTCGCGTATCCGCTCGCAGTTCATTTCAGTGTCGGTTCGTGCCCATTTTTCACTTTTGTGTTTCAGTTTGTTGGTTTGTTCGTTCATGTTCGTTCGCTTGTTCGTTCGCTCACAGTACTCCCCCTCGATTACGAGGTAGTATGGACACAAGCAGCCGGTTGAACTGAGACATTCAAATACAATATCAAACAATCAAACATTATCAAACAACATTCAAAGAAGATCAACCAGTTCCAACCAGTTCCAACCGGTTCCAACGAGGTCCAACAAGAACTGGCCAGTTCTAGTGCCGGCGCCGCATTTCGACACTGAGGTGACCTCTGTCACTGACCGAGACCTTCAGGGTCGGCAGAGCTTTGCCGAGAAGGTGAGACAATGTGAGACACGGAGAGAATGTCATGGGTCATGGACGAGTCATGGACGAGTCATGGACGAGTCATGGACGAGTCATGGACGAGTCATGGAGATCATGGAGATGGAGTCATGGTATTACATGGTACACTATGTGTATCTATGTGTTATGAACTGCGCAGTTGTGTCATGAACTCTTTCACTTGGAAAAGAGATGTTCAGTGGCAGATTCAATAGCATTTGCGGGATCTCAATGACACAGTTGTTTCCCTTGTGACTAAGCATGTTGGGATGGAATTGAGAGGACAGATGTGGTGGCTGGACCTTCATTTCATACCTTGTCAGTCTACTTCGCAAGAAATCAAATGCGGACAGCTCGCTTATTTTCGGAGCGAATTGTCCCCAGTTCTCCATGTGGGGCTTGCTTGGCTGAGTATCTGGAATGAATGGCAAAGCATCCTATTCATAGAGGCTGTGGCACTGTTGCCTTTTTGGAGTTGCCTTGCGCATTGCGCGAAGGACAGGGTGGTTCTTGCACCACCAGGATATGAGGAGCAGGACGGGCTGCAAGCATTCCATCATTCTTCAGGGGGTCCATGGGAGTCTTTTCAAGTCCTAGTCCTGACCAGTCCCTATCTTTCCGCCTAGCAGTTGCAGTATGTTGCAGTCTGCTTTCTCCGGGAGAAGCAACGCCAGAGTAATGTTTTGCCCAATAAAATTGGCTCAGCAAGCGGTCCTTTGCAGTCTTTGCAGATGGTGGAAAAGGCACGGGTTGTAGAGACCACCAAGACTTGCAAAAACTTCCCATCATTCTGTGCAGTTCCCTGCAAAGTATTTGGCTGTTCCATCTCTTCGACGACGTCATCCTCGTATTGTGCTTCTATTTTCAAGATGTTGCTGGAAGTGAAGCTGCTTGTCATGATGCGTTCCTTTTTCTAATGCAATTCATGCATTGCAAGGAGATGGAAGACTGGGTAAGACAATGCGTCGGATTCGGTTGCAAAAAGGGCTTGAAGCCAGAAAGCCCTAATCAGGAGATGTGTGTCTTTATGCCACGTTGTGCGCTGCTAGGGTCTTCAGTGTCACAGATCGACAGCAGACCGCGTCCTGAATAGACTTTGCTTCGTGGTGTGTTGCAGATGCATTCAATGCATTCCATTAAAAAAAAAATCAGTTGATTCAGTTGTATAAATGGTGACAAGATGTGACAGGTTTCCAAAAGGCAGCAAAATGAGGTACTTGTCACAGCCAGCCGGACCAGGACAGTTTCTCCCTAGTCGTGGTAGAGAACGACTTTGCTTCTTGATTCATTGATGGCTTTTTATGTTTGTGCAAGAAAAGACTTGTGCTCGGGTTTTCGATTACTAATTTGTGCATCGTCAAAGTTTGACATGAACTTTTAATTGGATTGAATCGGCATATTTAGAACGTCTTTTGATATCTTTTGATAAGTTTAATATCAGGAATTGTTTGTCTTGTTACGTGGCATTGTGGGAACAGCTGAGGCCATGTATGGGGTTTATGATGGTCACGGTCCAGCAGGCCACGACTGCTCAGACCTGTCCTTGAGGCGCCGTTTTTTGTGGTTTCGAATGGTTTCGAGTCTCGTGTAGTACGGCCTAGTTGCTGCTTTGTAGTACGGTTTTGTGAAAGGCTTCGTGATAAATTCCTGACGTTTGGTTTTCATCATGTTTTCATCATGCATTTCCAGGGGCCAGGGTCTATCTTGTGAGGGCCGCAGTCGCGCGCCATGCTGTGACTCCGAGTCAGGAAGCTCGGCAGCGCCTTTCTGAATGACCCGGACAGAGAGAGAGATCCTGGTGCTGTTCTCACGAAGGCGAGCACCGAATGGCCGAATTGGTTGCAAAGCATCCAACCCTGCAGTCCTATAGCAACCTATAGCAACCTATAGCGATAGAATAGGGATAGAACAAATTCGGATTTAGCAACCTATGTGGATTCAGCAACTAGTATGGTCGGATTCAGCAAAGCAATTAATCCGATTCAGAAACGAATGTGTTGGGATTCAGAAACTAATGATTCAGAAACAAATGAAATGTCTTCAGATTCAGAAACTAATTCTTTCGGATTCAGAAACTAAAGATTTCGGATTCAGAAACTAAATGAAGTCGGATTCAGAAACTAATTTGTCAGAAACACATGATTTGTCAAGCAGAAACAAATGAGACAGTACATGCCTGAGTCATGTCTTAATCCTTCCCTCAGCTGACACATCAAAATTGCCACCCCGTCTGGCAAATATATGCGCATTCACATTGATCAACCAACCATCAGAATTGCCTCCCTCTCTGGACAACACGTTCATACTTACACTGGCAAATACATGCATAGTCACATTTGTCAACTAACAAAACAAACTTGCCACCCCCTCTGGACAACACGTTCATATTTATTTACACCACAACAAATCAAAATTGCCACTCCCTCTTGCAAATATAAATACATGCATAATCATGCATAGTCTTGTTAACTAACAAAACAAACTTGACACCCCTCTGGACAACACCTTCCTTTTTCCGCCAGAACAATTCAAAATTGCTACCCCTTCTGGACAACACATTCATGTTTAAACTGCAACAAATCAAAATTGCCACCCCGTCTGGCAAATACATGCATAGTCACATTTATCTGCCACCCCCTTTAGACAACACGTTCGTATTTTCATCATAAAACTGCAAAATTGCGACCCCTCTCTGGCAGATACATGCATAGTCACATGTGTCAACTGTGTCAACTAGCAAAACAAAAGTGCCACCCCCTCTGAAAAAACGTTCATACTTACATTGTAACATTGTAAAAATTGCCACCCTGTTGAGCAAATATATGCATATTCACATTGATCAACTAACCATCAGAATTGCCTCCCTCTCTGGACACCACATTAGTTCCGGTCATTAGTTTCCGAATACATCTGTATTAGTTTTGGAATATAAGTTTCTGAATACAAGCCCTGAACATTAGTTTCGGAAGACAGCTTTATTAGTTCAGGAATATAAGTTTCCGAATACAACCGTGACCAATAGGGATACAATGAGGCAATATGAAGCCTATAGTGAAGCCTTGTGAAGCTTGTGCAGCCATCGCTTGGGCTTAATCAATGTGCGAGTTGGAAATATCCCAGGTCATGGCCACAGTGCCACAGAGTCGATGAGTCGATGGCCCGATGGCAGGTTTTCCTCGACACACAGGAGATCCTCATGAAACAGGGCAACTTTGACACCAGTGGTACAACTTGTACTATTGTGTGCTGCCGGCTGAGTTGCACTATGTTGCACTGGTGACTCGACAGATTATACAGATTGCAGAACCTGGATCTCGGCCAGGTATCACGACAAAAAGTTGGACAAGCTCACGATAGCACATGCAGCTTAGATGCAAAATCACCCTGACAGCCCGTATCTGCAACTCTAAAATTAAGGCAGCCTTCAAGTGTCAAGGCCTGTACTTTTAATTTTATTGAAATTATTTTATTTTTGAATCATTTTGAATCATTTTCTGCTCGATGGTGGATTTCAGGTGGGCGACAGCCGAAGCGTGCTCGGCAAAAAGAAGGATGAATCTTCACCTTGGGAGAGCTTGGAGTTGACAACAGATCATAAGCCAGACCTTCCCAAGGACCGCTTTCTACCGCCTGTTGACCCGAATTCAATGGAACTCAGGAACTCGTTTTGATACATTGAATTCAAATGAATTCAATAGATTGAGATGATTTGAGATGATTGATGTGCCGCTGTGCCGGTCTCGCTGTAGGAAAAAGCACGTATTGAAAATGCGAATCCTCCGGGCCGTGTCGTCTTTGATGGTTGCTCGGCGGGGCCAGGACAGTTTTCCGGGCGTTTCTGTGACGCCACTACTTTTGCATCAGCTGAGCATATCAACTAGTTTATATAGTCTAGAGAATATTAATCTGGAGTCCAGTCTTTGGACCTACGATTTAGATCGATGATCGATTTAGAAGTAAATAGTAACGGAGAGATCCGGAGAGTTAAGACACACTTCGCAGTTGTGAGAGCCAAATGAATGCCACTGCCAGTCCCTGTATAAAGCAGTGGAAGATACATCTGATATTGAGGACTGCATTTGGCATGTCCTCTGAGTAGGGTCCGATTTGACTCCCGTGTTTCTGCCCAGGCTATTACAACCATCGCGTCTTTGCCCTGAATGGGATGTATCCAGGTTGGTGATTTCAGGGGAGCACACGCTGGTCTGTATTTTGGAGCTCGGATCATTTGACAAAAGTACTTATATTACTCTTATATTACTCTTATATTACTCTTATATACTGCAGTTTCTTGGTCTTCTCGGAACGAATGTTCACCTGTCTTTGTAGATTGATAGTCAATCGTCAAGACCAGGCGTTGCAAATGACTTTTGGATTTGTTATCAACCAGTTCTTGCAGTGTTTGGAGATGGCTGGAATTGGATTTCCAAGAATTTTGCGGAGCAGCTGTTCAATTTGTGGTGCAGGTCTGAACATGTCTCGAGCCCTGGGTGATGTCATTGCACACAAAGAGGTGACAGTTGCTGATGCCCGGAGTTTTGCATTTGAGCTTGACTTTCTCAGTGGATATTGACGGCTTGTGACCAGAAGCCACACATCCCAGGATATCCCAAGATAAGATAGCAAGGACCAGCAAGGATTCAGTATACATCAGGATGCCTAATAGCCTGGAGATTTGAGGAAGGTCCACACTCGCAGCTCCTGTCCCAATTCATCCAGCGTTTGCTTTTAGACCTTCCTGAATCTTTTGTCAATTTTGGAGAAAGCTGTAAACCTCGCATCGGCTTTGCTATCGGCGCGGGCTGACAAGGCGGGCCTCACTGCTGAGCCGGACATTTGCGTCATCGACCTGAAGGTTCCTTGACACTTGCAGCGATCATGCAGTGCAGCTGATCTCGCACTTCACGACATGAAGTAATTACATGTAATTACAGCATGAATGATCATGATTCATCATGACAGTGATTCTTCAAAACAATGTAAGCCAGTAAAACAATTAGATATGTTGATCACTGTTGATCTATGTTGTGAGCCTTGTAACTGCTCCAAAGGGAAACAGACTGGCCATATGGAGTCCATATGGAGCAATGCAAGTTGAAGGTTTGGTGGTGCCATGGTGCCAGGCAGAACGCGAAAAGTATGCCAAGTTGATGCTCTTGATTTGTACTGATGGTGTTGCTTGGCAGCCCACGGAATCACAGAGATTCGTTGCGATCTATGCACTTATAATCACTTATATGCTACTGGTACATACTGGTACTATATATTTATATGATTTTATATGCTAATACTATATGATTTGATATGACGTCAGAATCTAATGTGCGCAATTCAGTTTGGTGAGTCTGGTGTTTTCCCAAGGGTTTCTCAACAGGTTTCTTGCAATCACTTCCTGAGTGCCTCGAAAGCTATCCCTTCCAGGTTTGGGAGTTCATTCTGAGCCAGGAGGTGCGGCTTGAATTCACTTCATTTCACCCGAAAGCATCGATGCTTTCCGTTGATGGTTCATGCCATGGCAAGAATCTCCTTGTCAACAAAGTGAGCAGCGGCACAACAACTTTCTTTGAACTTGCCCATTTCTCCAGGCTATCAACATGGCGCAGAAGTTCACAGATTGCCAGCAGGCGGATTCCGCGGAAGTTCTGGTTGGAACACCTTAAGGTTTTGAATCTTCGTCTCTTCGTCCATGGACATTCATCTTTAGTTGGTTGTCACCCAGGACTATTGAGCCTTGAAACTGGACCTACAAATGGCCCAACTGAAAGTGTTAGGTCCTGTCAGATGGTTACAGTGCCAAGTCTTTATACAATCATCTTCGCATGCTGTATTAAGTGAGCTTTGGTCAAGTGGCTGGGTTGTATCTCAAGCAAAAACAGGCCACAAGTCATTTTCTTGGGAGTCAACTTCTGCCAGACGGGGGGATGCCAAGCTACCTGCCTTGCAGGCGGTGGATAGACTCATGAAGGAAAGCTGGGACCGATGGATGAAGGACTCTGATAATGTGTCAACCTCAGTGTATCTTGACATTAGCTTTCGTTCATATATGGTATTCCTGAACTTCTTCCTTACATGCTTGACAACTTGACACGCCTTTTGAATGTCCCAGTTGGCAAGTTCCTGTTTGTCTACATTTCGAAACGTTTGGCACAGAACTACAGTATGTGACCAAGCTATAGCCAAAGCTTCTTGACCTGTTGTTACCATGATGCCAAGGAAATTACTGACGACATCACCGCCGTCATGGTGTACCTGTGACTTGCATGGGCCCTTTATGCCTTCATCCAAAAGAAATCATCCTGCACTGCTAGGACTGTCGCTTGTGTTTTCTCACTTGCATGAGCCGATATTGGCACTCATGTTTAGGAATCAAAACATCGACAATCAGACAGTGAAAGTGATTGAGGAGGATTCCCGACGCCTTTAGCTGCCACAAGTTTCTGCTTTTTGATAACAGCTGTGCAATTTCACGCAGAAAAGACATGTGAATGCCAGGATAAGCGGGTTGGTTGAGGGCCTAGAATGAGAACTAAGAGTCATTCATTTGGATACTTGCCCTATCTTGCCCGCAAAGCTGGACATTTATTTTATGTCCCAGAAGCTTTCCTTCAAGCTGTAAGGTTCAAAAAATACATGCGTAAACCACAGTTGGTTCAAGCAATAATTCAAATACCCAGCACGTGCGGTGTCATGGATTCTTTTAGCCAGGAAGGTATGTGCCAGGGATACAAATCCCTCCAATGTTCTTGTCCTGTGGCTGCTTCTGGACTTTGTGAAAACAAACGCGCACCCAGACACACACACACATGACATGTACAGATTGTACACCTATACTGCCTATACTTATACCTCCATGCATTCATGTTACATCCATGCGAAAACATTTGTCTGCATGCACGCGAAAACACCCGTGTACATACACACACACACATTTGATGTATTCAAATGTAATTTGAGGTACATAATATGCACGCAATCAAATATGAGTACAACACACTGTCCAGAAAGAAGCGCAAATCGCAGTGCCGTATTGCAAACGATTAATCAATTCGCGCGTGTGTGCGAGCGTTTTGGCAAGGCGCACGGTGTCCGCACCGTGCGGTGAGTCCTCAAAACGCACAAGGCACATTAGTGTCTCACCCCTTGGGACAGGCACCCCTTGTTCAATCCATCGGCTGAGAGCAAGACCCTTTCGAAAATAATCTGACCTTGAGGAACAGGGGTGCCAGTGATTTCACGCCGAAACTAGAGGAACAGCTGGAGGTTGTGACTTTGCCGTAAATCAAAACAACGATCATGATGGCCACTAAAACAGTCGGTTCCTCCGGATCAGCTCCAAGAGTCAGCCATCAACAGCCATCAACAGCCACATGAGGTCCCTGTTTTGCAGAGGAACCACCAGCGGCCGACTCCATGTGCCCCTGAGCAGATGGCATTGTAGGTGGGTCCAACGGATGCATGAAGTTGTGAGCCGACGGAGAAAAAGTATTTCCGAGCAAGTCGATCCAGAAGTTAGGAGCAAGTTCCTGAAAGCCTCAAAAGAGTAGGAAGAAGATGGAAGAAGTATGAAGAAAACGCGCGGGGTATACCGGCATCTTCGATGATACATTGTACATATTTGTACATCCTGATTTGTTCATCGGCGATCCATGCAGTTGGTCAGTGAGGATTTCAAATCTGAGTTTTGACATTGCTAATTGCTAACAAAGCAGGGAAAGGGCAGTTGATTGAGGGGGAAGTTTTCTTAGGTGCAGCATGATTTCTTGGAGTACACTCAAAAATCAAGAAAGGAAAAGGAGAGGGAAACAAACAGAAACCCAGGAAACATAAGCAAGTATTGTATTGCTATTTTTTCAGCCACTTGCTATTTTTTTGAAATAGTCTTGATAATCCGGACTCCGGACATGTTTTTTTTTGAAAGTAGCCATGACATCTCAAACAGGCAGAACAAATATATAATTGACATCAACCGACTGCGTCAGGCAAGGTGGCCTTGGATCAATTTGACATGTTTTGCCCTGGGATGTGTTGTCACACAAAACAGGTGGCCAAATTGCTTCCCTCCATGCTGTCATGGCTTGGAGATTGGAAACCACCACCCAACACATCCCAACACCAGCATATTGAAATCTTTTTGTGCAGGATCCATGACAATTTAAGAAGTAGTGTGATTCAGGATTGGACTCCTCTCTGTTTGTGCAACCCCTTTCAGCCAGGAATAAACATGAATCAACAGTCACATATAGTCATATATAGATCATATAGTCACCATAGGCATCGGCACATCCCGTGATGGATTCCATGCGATCCATGCGGTGCCTACGATTAATCCACACTCGGAGCGTTGGGAGCCCTGGGACGAAGTCGGACGACTGGGACGAAGTCGAAGAAGTCGAGCAGCGCCGCTGGTGTTTTGCCATTTTAACATATTTCAAGGGTGTTGGTCGAGGCACTCGAGGCACTTGCCAAATCTTGCCAAATCATGACGCAGATATGACACAGATCATCACAGATCCTTGAAGTGTCATGAATTTTTGCAAGGGTGATGTAGGCATTTCTATGTATTTGTTGGTCTTTGCTTTCTTGGTAGGTACCAGACCTTTTGCTTTGCCCCATTTTGCCCCTTTGGTTCTATAGGTAATCAATGGTAATCAGGTCACAGTGTTGCCATAACTCTGTCATGTGAGGTCCGTGGGCGGCAGGCCGAAGGGTTCTCATGGTGTCGTCCGGGATTGAGATACGCTGGACGGTCACCAGAATTCCACTGAGAACTTTCGACATTTCATACCGACTACCAGTGAATCACAGTCCTCTGTACGAATCGCATTGCACAGTCAAATATGAAATCGTGATTCTGAAACTCCAGATTGACGCCATTTTCCAAACCTGTTTGCCAGCACTGGGAGATCCTGGGAGATCCTGGGAGGCATCCAGTCGTTCCTCGTGTAGCTTCAGTCCAGTCGTGGACTTCTTGGAACCCCGGCTCCGCTTCCCTGCGAGTGTAGTGGGTGCGCGAGGTGCACCCAATGTTACGCTCACCTACGCTCAGAGTATCCTGGACTTTCACATAACTTTTTCTTGTGTGGTAGTGGTGGTATTAAAATGTATTAAAACTTTAAATGGAGAGGGCTTGTCCGAACTGGAACAAAAATCGATCAGCCCTTTGGCAGTCTGAAAGGCATAGATGGCTGCTTATGTGGACCCATCACCTCTGAGCGTCAGTTGATCAGTGGTGAAGCACCTTGGAGGCAAAATACCCAAAGCCCACAGACCAAAAAATCCTGCCGTTGTAGGATCTTGAAATGTCAAAACTTATAGCTTTTGCAAGTACACTGATGACTTGATTGTTGGACGAAACAGTCAGCAATGTGATGTCAACATTTTCTGACTGGCGTGGAATATGTGGAATCATGTCAGGGAGAAGTCTTTGTTCAGGACAGTATGGTGATGACGCACCAATTTCGGACCATGCACGATGCGATCTTGATACCTGGCTTGGTTGGGAACATCAACCATACAAGGGACGGAATTTGTGAGCACACTTGTGAGCACATTAAATATCATTAAATAATCTTAAATAGTCTTTCGAGTCTTCCGACACAGACTTCATGCAATCGAACTGAGATGAGCTTTGACAGACTTTGACACATTTTGACACCAAGGATTGGTGTAGGCACACTTCTGTCAGACGATCCTCAATTAACTGCACGGTTGGTGCCGGGCCCAAGCCCGCAGCCAGTGGTCTTAGATTCCAACCTTCGCACGCCTTTGACTTCTGCCCTGGTCAGATCGAGCTCTGAGAGCACTGGAATGTCGCAACGGCTGACGCTGCTGACCACCAGCAACGGCCCCAAAGACAAGTGGGAAAGAGCGAAGGCGTTGGATCAACGCGGCGTTTTTATTTTGGAAGTACCTGCAGCTGATGGCCGGGTTTCCTTGGAAGATGCTTTATGTCGCGTCAAGGAAGATCTAGGCTGTCATTCCGTCATGGTGGAAGGTGGAATGACAGTCATTGCCAGCTTTTTGGCAAGGCCAGAACTGGTGTCCAATCTTGTCGTCACAGTGAGTCCAAAGTTTTTGGGTGGATATGGGCCTTCTGCAGAACTGCTTAAAGGTGAACCTCAGAGTTTGCTGAGCATACCAAAGATGCAAAGCTGCCCGGTTGGAGACGACATTGTGCTTTACGGCAGTCCTTCTGTCCCGTATTTGAATGGCAACAGCGGAGATGCGCACAAGCCCAAAGTGACCGGCACTCAGACATGATGGTGTCAACTTGCTTGGGGGTGATTCGACATTGCTAAAGTCGTTTCTTCAGGATTTTGAAGGATATTCAAGGGAGTTGTTTGTGAATTCCATGGTCAAAAAGCTGTTATCTTTACTTGTGGATACGAACGACAAGATTGTCGAATGCAATTTTTGGTGCTTAGCGCTGATTTGGTATTGAAATTGTTTTTAGTTGTCGTACTGTCTGCACTATTCTTAGTTTTAGGTCAATTAACGAATCTGTTTTCATGGAAATACTTTTGACTCAAGTCAACTAAAGGGCCTTCCACAGACGCTTTCAACGCTCTTTGACCCGACGAGAACTGGATCACTGGATCACCCATGGTAGGACGGATTGGGTGCCTGGTCACCAAATTTTACAAGGTTGACATAAGTTGACATGCAATAGAAAGAAGAGATATGCTCCAAGACGCTTGGAGCAAAGCATACAGCACGAACCTTGTGAAATCCTACCGATGGGAAGACACAGGCTTCATTCGACTTGAACCCAGGAATGGCCATTCGCACCTCATGCAGACGCAGCTTTCCAGCAGCTGCAGAATGTGGGTTGAGGTCTGGGCTTCAATGCCGTGAGTTGATGTTATTATAGTGTTTTGTTTTATTTCAAAAGTTATTTTACTTTTTCCCGGATGCGTAGCAAGGGTTCCCGTTTCACTCTGGGGGTCAGGGGGTTGAGGGTGTGTTCGCTCGACGTTGCGTTTACGTTCGCAACCGTCCGCAACTGTTCGCAACAGTCTGCAACCGTTCGCAACCGTTCGCAGCCGTGCGCAGCCGTTCGCGCGAGGTCGCTATGGCCGTGCCTATGGCGAGTTTTGCGAAAGGGATCACTTTTGGAGGTTCCAAACGTCGCGTGGCTTCGTTTCGCGTGGCAGGTGGCAAGCGCAGCACTTCAGACGTGTCGTGTTGCATGTTTTTGCGAGTCGCGTTGTCAAGGCTGTGCCATGTGGTGACAACGTGCAAATCCGTGGCAGGCATGGCATTTTGTGAGATGTGATGAAAAGTGACGGAAGCCTCGCACGAAACATCGATTTTGAGGTAGCAAATTTTGAGGTTCATGAGAAAACTCGTAGGAAAACGTCGATTTTGAAGCTACAGAATATGAAAATTGGAGGAAGTCTCGCACGAAATGCTCGTTTTGAGGCTCCTACATGTCGAGTATCGATTCTCTGGTTTTCTTCTGCTGTCGCAGTGTGTGTGTGTGTGGGGGAAGCTGCAAAACCTTTCCTTTTCGAAGGTTTCCAAGCAGGTTGTCATGTCGTTTTGCGTGGCAGGCTTGGCACTTCCTGACATTTTCACGTGTCTGCAAACGCGTCGAAAGTGGTTTTGTGTGACAGGAGCAATAGTTTTGCAAGGCTTTCAGCAGATGAGTTGCATGTTTCCTTGCAGGCGCAGCACTGGAGACCTCCATTGTCATTTTGCGTGGCAGGCGCAGCACTTCAGACGTGTCGCGTTGCGTGTTTTTTGCTAATCGCATGGTCACGGCTGCGTGAAGTGGTGACACGGTGTAAATCGCGTGGCAGGCGTGGCATGTTGTGACATGCGATGACATTCCACACTCTACACTCAACACTCCACACTTTACACTCCGCACTCCACACTTTACACTTTACACTTTAAACTGCGCACTCCACACTTTACACTTCACACTCCACACTCCACAGTTTGCACTCCACACTTTCCACTTTCCACTTTGCACTCCACACTCTACACTCCACACTCTATATACACTTTACACTCCACACTTTGCACTCCACACCCCACACTTTACACTCCACACTGTCCACTTTGCACTGCACACTTTTCACTTTACACTCCACACTTTACACTGCACACTTTAAACTCCACACTTTACACTTTACACTCCATACTTTACACTCCACACTTTACACTCCACACTCCACACTTTACGCTCCCCACTTTACACTTTACACTTTACACTCCACACTCCACACTTTACACTTTACCCTCTACACTCCACGCTTTACACTCCACACTCCACACTTTACACTTTACGCTTCACACTCCACACTTTACACTCCGCACTCTACACTTTACACTTTACACTTTACACTCCGCACTCCACACTTTACACTTTACACTTTAAACTGCGCACTCCACACTTTACACTTCACACTCCACACTCCACAGTTTGCACTCCACACTTTCCACTTTCCACTTTACATTCCACACTCCACACTTTACCCTTTACACTCCACACTTTACACTCCACACTCCACACTTTACGCCCCACACTTTACACTTCACACTTTACACTCCGCACTCCACACTTTGCATTCCACACTCCACACTTTACACTTTACCCTCTACACTCCACGCTTTACACTCCACACAATAAAAACACCTCACCACGTAGCACACTTGCATGTGTGAAACAAGTTAATTGAACAGTCTTGTGCATTTTGCCTCTGTTACGGTACTAGTGCACTGTAGACTGTGGAATGCGGAAGAGGGTGGAGTGCAAAGTGTTGGGTGCGAAGAAAGTGGATTGTTGAGTGAAAATGCAGTGTGTAGAGTGTAAAGTGGGGATTGTGGAGTACTGCATTCGGGTTCGTGGGCTGCATCTTGTTTTCATTTTTTAAAGATTTGGTCTTGTGCTGGTGTTGTGGATTCACGAGATCGTCCAGGCCATCGAGTCAGAGTGCGACCTCAAGGAGGGGCACATGGCACATGGGTGGCACATGGATGGCACATGGATGGGACGCTTCTAAGGCATTCCAAGGCTCCCACCATGCTCCCACGGTGCTCCCATCGTGTGCCGTGCAGGTCTACAACACGCCAAAGCAGGGCCAGGAGATAGTGGCTCTCATCAAAGGTGATGTGTTTGGTGGAGAACACGTGCCAGTCGCGTGGCGCAAAATAACAGTGGGAATCTGTTGAAGGCTCATTCACCGCAGTTTCATGCGATACAGCTGAAATCTATGTGATCTATGATCTATTCAACTTATTCAGCCTATTCAACATGTTTTTTGATTTGTTTTCGTAGGTTTTTACGCACTGCCTCAAACTTCGTGGTGATTCATGGTGCATGTGCATGTTCCAAGGTGCGGGTCCATTCCGAGTGCTTCACAGGGGATGTCCTCGGCTCCAAACGCTGTGACTGTGGACCCCAACTGCGAGGCGACCGGAGCTATGGGGCAATGGGGGAGACGCGTAACTTGTGGCATTCGAAGTGCAATCCGTAAACTTCGCATTCGATGCTTGAAAGCTTTGCGGAGATCAAGATATGTCAAGATGTGGAGGATTGTGGAGGTGCGTTTGTCGGGCGCGATAGCAAGGGGAAATCTAAACTTTGATATGGATTTGGCCTTTCAGTACTAATGATTTGAATGATTGGATTAGTAATGAGTCTAGTTTGGCTCCCTGTTCAACTTTTTGTTCCGCAGGCTTTCTCGACATTCTTCAGCAGGAAAGTGCCGGAATTCTGCTCTACATTCGAGGTGCATCTGTCCTTGCGCGGATAGCCTGGGCTGATATGTATCTGGATGTGCGCGAAGGTGTCGGTGTGATTCAGTGCGTACCAGTGTCAGTATCTCCCCGACTTTGACATTCAAAGTAGAACAAACACGCAAACTCCACAGAACTCCACCGGAGCAAAAAACAAGAACATGGCTTCTTGCAAAAATGGCTTGGAAGCTGGTTGAGCAGCATAGGCAGCATAGGCAAAGTCCTCAGGGCTGACCCAGAACCACTTCTCACTGGCATGACACCTTAAAACAACAGGTGCTTATCAGTGCTTGACCAATCTTGTTCGCACACGAGCCCCCTGCAAGTTACTGGCTTTGGCCAGCAGCAGATCCCATAGAAATCATAGAAATGTAATCTCCAGTGCTGACAAAGAGCGGTCGTTTTTTGGCCGGGCATTGTATGGGATATATAAGAAGGACCAACAAACTTCTGTTTTTGATATAGTTCTTGGTGTTTGTCCCTCTTGGTTGGGGAAACGTCTATGTTTTCTGGAGTTTTGAGATGCAGCGCAAAAAGAACAGCTGAAGAAACTTGATGCCCAAAAGAAAGAGTTCACTGTTGAAATTTAAGCAAAACTCTGAAAGCTTTATGCCACTGTCCTGATTCTTTGCCTCGCTGTGTCTTTTGGAGTCGTTTTCTTTGGCAGCATTTTCTGTGATTTCTGTGTGAGTTTGGCGCTTGGCAAAATTTGACAGATGAACAAACTGGCCGCATTGTAGAGAGAGTAGAGAGTGCAGTGCCAGTGACAATGGTCATGGCCACGGTGTGATGACTCTCTGGCTTTCTGCCGGAGGCGATGAAGGCCGAGGGATTGGCCTCGTTGAGAAGATCCGCGCCTATGAACTTCAGGAGATTGGCCTCGTTACGACCGCGTTGGGCACGTTGGGCACGTTAGCCACGTTAGCAACGTTAGCCGCGGCAGTTGCTTGGAGTTGCTCAAGTCACAAAGTTGCTCCCTGTATGAAATTCCTTGGCACGGATTAGATGCATAACACTCTTCAGATCTCTTCAGCACTGCCGTTTAACATGCTGAAAGTGATTGATTTCTTAACAATGCTTTGCTTTGATAACGACGCTTGGATTCGTTCAGGAGAAAGGCCTAGACACAGTGACGTGGCTGCACTCAAGCATTTCATTGCTTTTCATTTGCAGATGTTAGGAAGGCATAGAAAGGCACTACACAGACCCACACAAACACAATGACACAGACACATACACAGGCACACTGACAGTAATTTCCAACCTCTTGCGTTCTGTGACACATTTACTTTACTTTGTGGCAGAAGCGCGCTAGAGATCACAATCCTCTGTCAAGGGACACGAAGACAGGGTGCGACAGGGCACATGTATCCTTCTACTTTCACTATAGTCTTCAGCTTGGGCGGCTGCGCGATTTTTAGTGTGGGGCATACATTCGGTTGACTCCATGCTTGATGCGCCATGATTCGGTGTTGTAAATTGCGCTCAGATTGATGCCAACCTGTCTTTGGGCCACGCTGCCGATCTCCGCACCTTCGAAAGCTCGAAGGACTGGAATCCAAGATGGAAGACTTTCGGACGACTTTCACCGGCAAACAAAGCCCCAGAATTTTGCACGATTTTCTTGCCACATGGATCATGGATATCAATGGATATCATTGATCCATCATTTCCAGCATTTGCTGTAATTCTGCCATACTCTGCCCTTGGTGCAAAAGAGTGAAGACATGTCCTTGATCCTTACTCATGAATATTCAAGATTCTGCTGCTACTGATGATGATGACGAGAATGACATGAATGATGATGCTGCTGATGATGATGATGAGGATGAGGAGGATGAGGAGGATGACGACGACGACGATGACGATGACGACGACGATTATGATGATGACGACGATTACGATGACGATGATGACAATGATGACCTGAATGATGACCATGATTGTCATTATGTTTCTGATGATCATAAATGATCATAATATATACAGTACTATATTGTATTGTAATTATATCAACATATACATACCGACAATATATGATGAAGAATGTGAAGATTAATGCACATGTTCATCATCATTTGATGAATGACACTGAATGCACTAGTGGTGACTGTCATGTTTTTCCACGCCTGGAGGAGGTCCTACAGCAGCTGGGTGTCCAGCGACATGGCGTAGCAGTTGGGTGGGGAAATAGTTGGATTCGGACGATTCGCATGGATTGCGATGTTCGCTTCCGCTGCACCATATCGGCAACAAGAGTTTTTTGGAATGACAGCACTAGAGTCACTAGACCCTCTTATGACCTGTACATGAACCCACGCGAACCCTTGGCAGCCTTGGCACTTGTGTGCCCATGGTGTTTCAAGTGAGTAAGTTGCTTTGGCCGTTGCTGTGAGGTCAATCAAACTTTATACCAACAATCCGGAGAAAGTTGAAGCTTTGAGACCCTTGGCCCGAGCCTTGCCTGCAAGCTGGCCAGGATTTCATGACTTCCAGATTCCGGGCTTTGTTTTCTGGTGAGCAATTCGGGCCCTGGTCCAGACTGATTCGGATATATGGACAATCGAATATTCACATGGAGCTGGTGGCATCTCTTGTCCCACTTAGACTAGACAACAGGCTAGCGTGTAAGACTAAGATGCCACAAGAAATGCCAAAGTGTGGTGAGGATCAGCAAACGACTTGCATGTATCATGTATCAATGCCTGGGCCACCAGGTGAAGTGCGCCCTTTGAAGACTGTTCCCAACAAGCACAATGTGACATACTTGCAGACGAAACGGGATAGGCTGAATCACAAGACTATCCTTTCAGAACTTCCTATTTAAGCCTTCCATGCGCAAATCCCTGGTGAATACTTTTCCAGGCTGTACAGCTATATGTTGACCTTTTGTGACAATAGATTTACGCTTGGGAGCGAATGCCTTACATATAATATATTTCTCTTGATCCGTAGCCCGTGGTTCCCTGGTTAAAGAACTTACCTTTCAGCAACCCATGCAGCCAACTGAGATTTCTGGTGGAGCATGAGCCAAGTTTCTTTCCAACCTGGGAGCCACAAAGAAGTTTTTTGATGTCGGGGTCGAAGATCCAGACACCATGGTGATGTCATGGTCACATGGAGTGAGGGAATCAGTTTTTCCGCGCAGCTGCGCAGTGGCTGGCAGAGCCAAAAGATGTCGAAAGATGTCGAAGACATTCGGAGATTAGCACAGCTCTCGGGGCAAGAGGGGTCTCTTTTTGGGAGTGCAACGACAAATGATCAGAGATAACAATATATTATAAGTTATAAGCATTTCATTGAACTTGTGGCAGGTTGTTTTTAGCTGAATAGTGGTTGAGTTGAGTCATGCCCCCTTTTTGCAGAATTTCCTGCGTTCGTGCCTTGTGACTTTGAATCTCTTGCAGCTCGACGTAGGTGTTTGAACGTGTGTTGAAAGCATTTGTTGAAAGCATTTGTTAAATGCTCTGGGCTTACTCTTGGTAGAGACCGTGAATCTCAGCAGCCTTTGGCGGCTCAGTCGACTCGATCTCCGAAGACCTGGCCGTTGCTCGGAGCAATGGCGAACGATGACATCGGTGACATGCACTTGGAAGACACAAGGCCTCGAGATGCCCCGAGTCATCGTTGCTCAGCTGGGTTAAAGTGGTAGGACCTGGTAGGGCCTGGTAGGACTTGCCAGTTGCTCCCAATACTCGTAGTACTCTTGTCTTCGAGTCAAAAAAGGATCCAAAACGGATCCAGCGTACATTCAAAATCATTCAACTTACCGCCGTGCATCTGAGTTAGATTTTGAGGATTTGCATGCCAAAATTCACTGAAACTGAGCATCACACTTTTCCTTTTGCGTATCTCTGGTCCCTCATGTCGGCTGATTTGCAGGGAAGAGAGACCACGCACACTCTCGACCCTTTTGCTGCACGCGGTTTGGTGTTGGGATTTTGCCCTGCTGCTGAATCCTTTGGGCAAAATTGTATGTGTTAATTGTAGGTGCTGTCTACTTGTTTCTGAGTCTTCGGGCCACAGCCTTTCCTTGCACCAGTCACTCCTGTGCAAAGAGCTTTCAGCTGAACTTTTACTTATTGAGGATTTTCCTTCTTGATAGCTGACTTACCAAACACAAGCGAAGTCATTTGCAACAATCCAGCCGACGCAGTTTCTGAATGTTTCTGAGATAGTTGGACATTGGGCAATGTGCCATGCGGAGATTATAGGTGTACATGTACATGTATATCCGCATATTCATAATACGGGTTGATTGCCTAGATTGTACATGCGCGCAATGGTGTCTAAATGGGGAGAAATGTTTCGGCATGTCACTCCGTGGCTGCTTGGCTGCCTCTCAGGGACTTCCGCAGCGTAAGAGTCCTGATTGCGTCTCTCCAGAGTTTCTTCTGATCGTGGAACAATTTCTGGCACAGATGCTCGGGTCTAAAAAATGAGGACAATGGTAGGATGTGGATCGGTAAATGAATCCATATGCATGTATTCATGTGTACTGTACACGGTTCTTTTGCTTATCTTTCCAAACATAGACATAGACACATGCATATGTGAGACATTGAAATGTGACATGGAGTTTATTGGACTAGTTTTTGGTGGTCCAGTTCAGCTCCAAGAGCGCTCACACCAACTGGTGCATGACTGGAACTAGCAACGCTAGCAACATGATTTTCAAGGCCTCCATGAGGTGAATGCTGCGCAGAAGGAAGCGAGTTGTTCCTGGTAACTCATTGCAGCAACAGAATAACTGGCTCTGATTTCAAAGCGGCATCCCTCGGTGACAGTTGTGGAAGGTGTGGACATGGCTTACCAAGGCACGTCAGTGAGGTGGAGGGCAAGAGTAACAGATTTGATCTGCTGCACCAGCTCGCCGGACTTCCGCCACCCTCGTTGCCTACACCAGCCCGGGGCTCACTCCACCGAGCCAAAGTCAAACGGGTGACCATTGGTGCGACCATCGATGAGGCTGAGGCGTTGAACTGCATCGATTTGATGTGACTGAAAAGTCATTTGCAGCCCTCAAGTCAGCACACCCACCCCGCCCCGAAAAAAGCTCTCATGTTTCCTCCTAGGTTGGGGCTGAATCTTCTAGCTAAGGGAGGGCCTGTAGATTTTAACAGAACTTCCCGCACGCACACAGACACACCTGGACACTTGCCAGCTCTCTGGGGCTTGCCGGACACGAACCCTATCCAGAGAGAATGTTAGAACTGAGAGGATGCCAAAATATACGTCAGATAGGAATGCCAGAAATTACACCGGCATATACCCCAAACAGAACATTGCTCTGAGGGCTGCACTGGAATTAGGACAGCAAGTTGGACAGCACCCTGCACAGCATTACACGGCATTTTGTCAAAATGTATGCCTGATGAGATGTCAGATACGATACAATGTAATAATAAGAGGTTGTCAGGATATATACCACGGTGGGGATCACACGAAGTAAAGCAATTGTGGATTCTAAAAGGAATCCATACCAGGAGGAGAGCGGGGAGAGGTTGAGGAGTGGAGACTGCGACGCCTTAGCTTGTTTGTTCTGTTTCTCGTTCTGTCGGTCTCTGCAGAAGTCTTAGCCTATCAGTCTTGAGTCTTTACGTTTCTAGTTGATCTTTGTATGCCCAATGCTTGGTTCTCCGCTGTCCACTACTCAGTTATACTTAATCGGCTCACTCCATTTGTTTGCTCGTCACTCTTCTTGGTGAGTCCATCATTTGTTGCTGGATGTCAACGTGTCTCAGTACGTAGGCTTTTATTGCCGATCAGCGCTCCCTCTATCCAGTCTGATATTTGTTCCCTTCTTTGACAACGTGAGTAGAAATCTGCAGAAGTAATGAACAAATCAAACAAATCCACAGAAGAGACAACGAGGAACTCCAGCGATTAGGACTTGAGGAGCTGCGCTACAAAGGGAAACGTCCTTTGGACAGTGTGGACAGGACGAGCTTGGCTCAACAAGATAAATCCACGCCACGGATGCCAAGATGCAGGCGTTGAAGCAACAGCCGCAAGATGGGAAGCTGAGACAGACATGCAAAGCCTGAGAACCCCAGAGAAACAGAGCCCGAGAGGGCAGCAAACTCTTAGTCGGACAGATGTAGGGACGAAATGGGACGAACAGACAATGTCATAGACAGACACCAGCAGACACAGCCAGACAGATGCCCACAGGAGAGACATGTACACGCATGTTCACATCTGCATTCACACGGACAGACACAAGACATAAAGTGACAGATCAAAAAAACAAGCGAAAACAAACACAAGGCCCAAGCACCAACCGTTGCTTATATGCAAACACAAAGGGTCAGCACGTGATACCAGGGTGAGAATTGACCCGGTTGGCGATATCCTGGCGACCATAGTGTATAATAATGTATAACATAGTGATATTTATAGTGATATAATATAGTGCATATGCGGATGTATCATGCGCTGTTCTGGTGGTTGTCGTGTCTGCCCAAACTGCTTAAATACGAGTGTTGGCCGGGCCTTGCAGTGTAATGCAGGAATCAGAAAGTCCAAAGGCAGACTGTTGGATGAGATCTAGTTCGTTGCAAATACTGTTTGCTGATCAGTTGGTATGCGAGTGCATATAAAGCTTCCCTGGAAAAGATTCGTTTCAGGATGAGGGATCACCCTGCAAAGAATCTCAAGAGCAAGTACATGGGCAGGGCCAAAAAGGAGGATCGATCACAAACGGCTTTCAGAGATTGAGGTCGACAGGATCGGGGTCGACGGTATCGGGACAGATCTTATGCCTCTTGACGCCTCATTAGTTTAGATTGCTGGGTTGCTGGGTGCACTGGGTACTGGGTACCTACAGAGTGCAAAAGTTGGATAGTCTTCCCACTTTCCATTTTTTTGCTCAACCATTTCCACCTTGGAAGTCTATAGGCATCTGCATTTTTTCGTGAGCGTGCTGTACTTCTTGGTTTTGTCCCACGGTCGCTTTTCTTCACTCCAAGTCCTCCAATGATAGTTGCAAGATGTTGCAAGTTCCTCTGTAATTGATACGTTTCGTGTATGTTTTTTGAGCCGAATGGTGTCAAAAGTGGTGATGACTCCTAGCTTTTGGAACTGTCTGAACCGGAGAAATGGGAGGGGCATGATGTGTGACATGCTGTGTGACATGCTGTCAAGATCTGTCAAGATCTGTCAAGATTATCAAGGCAAACAGCACGAGACCGCTCCACACCTCGATGCTGGGAAGTTGCTCGGCTGTGAGTTTTCGATCGCTGTTTGCAGAAGGCTTCTGACACTGTTGGTCTTTTCTTGTCTAATGTAAGGCATCTTAAAAACACAATCCACTGAATGTTTATTGTTGAAGAATCATGCGATTGCCAAGGAACATTCCACCTGAACACTGATGTCACCTGCCGTGGCTTTTTGTATCAATCCCCATTTTAGGCCTTTCGCCAAATAAATGTGCTACGCAATAGCTGCGGAAGAGCTTGCTGCCTGAACTGCCTGCCTGCAGTCACAACAGTGGCACCGGAGCCCCGTCGATCCAGCCGCTGCCTGCGCGCTCCAACCAACGGCCTGCTGCTTCGAGCCTTTGCGCGGGGGACGAGATCAAGGTTCTTAAGCTGGTGAGGGGTGATCCTTGCGGAACTCCCGGATCGTTCTCAAAGTTCTAAGGTTTTGCCCTCTTCCTACTTATCTTTACTGGTTGCCAAGCGTCTCCTGGTGATTGGTGTTGGAGGAAAAACGAATTCATTTGGTGTTTCAACTTTTGCAGTTTCATCTCCGAGATTGAGACACCATGGCCGACGAAAAGGACCAGAATGGTGGTGCATGGAGCAAAGTTCCAACTTGGGACGACTCACCGCAGACACGGCGAAGCTTCCAACAGGAAATGATGTGGTGGCAGAGCGCTTTGGATTTAGAATCAACCAAGAAGTATAACTTGGCAGCGCGATGGCTGCTGCGCCAAAGGGGAGTTGTCCGCCAGCGTGGAGAGGAATTTATTCCTGAGGAGTTGGCCTATCGGAAGGAAGTCAAGGGGCCGGATCCTATAGACGGACAAGGTGAAGTGGTGCTGACTCCAGAAGATCGTTTGAGCGGTCTGAAGAAACCGATGAATGCCCTGGAGGGCATCAATGGTCGCACCGACCTGGACAAGAAGGGAGAGATTAGGAGCCAGTTCTACATAGACTGCAATCGGCGCCCTGGTGAACGCATAGCTGAATTTAGCGCTAGATTCAGAACACTGCTTGCAGACCTAAAGACAGAAGGTGTGACATTGCCCACAGGGGAGGTTGGCTGGTTCTTCAAGCAGAAGTTGTGCTTGGATCCATTACGTCTTCAACTTTTGGAGACTGCATTGGCTGGAGCTGAGGGTTATGAAGAAACTGAACGTGAGGTCTTCAGGCTTCTCAAAGATGTGCATCCTCGAGACTCCTTAGCCCGAAAGATTGCAGCTGATGGGAACCGAGGTCCACCTTTGCCGAATCGTTTTCTCAACCAATCTTCAACTGCCAGCAGACCTTCATCCTATGCTCCATCTACGGCAAGTTCTGCTCCTAGGTCCTTTCGCTCCACCTCTTCTGCAGCATCTCAGCGTTCCTCACAGCCTTTTAGAAAGTTTGGGGGTCAGCAGAAACAAGCTTTGGTTCCTGAAGTGGAAGAGAATGGGCTGGCGGAAGCCGATGAGCATGACCCGGAGACTGTGGAGGATGAGACGGACCCAGCTGAAGCGTTGAAATGCGAGGCGGAAGCATTCGCAGCCGAGCTTGACGATGCGGCTGAGCTTGGCGTTGATGCCGAGACCTTGCGAGAGGTGGAGGACACGTGGAGAATGCGGCTGAAGCCCTGGTGACAATGAAAAAGGCCAGGACCAAACTGGCCGAAGTCAAGCGTGACCGCGGCTATTGCCGTGCAGCGCCTGTGGACGACAAGTCCAAATCGAACTCCAAGAAGCAGAAGAGCAATTGCTTTGACTGTGGCTTGCCAGGCCACTGGGCTGGCGACAAGGAGTGTCGCAAGCCGGGTGCGAAGCTTGGACGAAAGCCGAAGCAAGTGCAGATTGCTGAAGCAATGACCACAGAGCTCTATGTGAGTGGAAGGACTGCGGCTGAAGGAGAAACCCATGAAGTTTTGACAGTTGCCGTCCTGCCCTTGTCCCAATCTCTGGCGGCTGCTGTCGAAGAGTCTCACTCACATGAAGCCCAAAGAGGCGAACTTGGCTGCCATGGCCTCACCGCTGACAAAAGACTGGTTGGTGCATTGGACTCTGCATGCAATTGCACCTGCACTGGTCCTGATTGGCTTCATGGTTGTCTCAAAAGTTTGCAAAACGCCCCTGAAGAGATCCAAAGCTTGGTGCGATCAAAGCCAGAGCATGAGACGTTTCGTTTTGGAAACGGTGGCGCCAAGGTTTCTTTGGAGAGATGGCGGCTGCCGACCGTCAGGGTCAAGTTGCCAGTTTTTGGACTTCATTGGTAGATGTGCCTTCTTTAGGACTTTTGCTGGGCAGAGATTTTTTGGAAGCAGTGGGTGCCGACATTTCATTTTTGCGGCATGAGCTGCGATGTGAACGTTTGGATGGCCAGCCTATTGCATTCAAGCAGCTCTCTGCAGGTCACGACCTGCTGCCACTGGTGCCAACTACATGGCCTACCGTGGGGACACGCAGATGGAGGAGAATGGGTCCTGACGGTGTTGTAGAGTTGCAGATGGATGCAAAGAGCTGGTTTGGTCATCGCATGAAAGGCTCAAAGGCTCCAAAGGATTCCAAACATGATCGCATGCTCACTGAGAAAAGTTTAGAAGTTGACAAGTTGGTTTGCTCAGTGATGACTGCTGAACCGCCTCGACCTGTGGTTCAAGAACCTGACATGCGTCCTGCTGCTGAGCGATCTCATATAACGACACCTAGCACCACGAGCACTACGACCAGAGCAGCTCAGCATGGACTCAAAAGCCAGAGACCGCCTGCAGCCCCAAAGGTGCAAAAAAATTGTGATGCGACTCAAAGAAAGAGCCGTGTGGGCCGCGAAGGGCGTGCTCGTGTGGCTTTTGCAAAGGCCTTACTTGCATTGGCTGCCCTTGCGGTATCCTGCAACTGCCAGTCTGGAGAAGTGGATGTCCCAGGCTACCACCCAGGTGCAGTCCAAGGCCTTGCCAGAAAGACATCTGAAGTGGGCCCAAAAGAAGAAGCTCTTCACAATGGCAAATCTGGGGGAGTGTGTGTGCACCTTCGCAATCGCCTTGGACTTCAATGCGAAGATCCTCTCCTGGATGGCATGTTGGAAGGAGTTGCGATGAAGGGCATGACAAAAGGTTTGAGAAGGCAGCGCAAGCCGAAGCTTTGGAAGCTGCCAGACTGGCCGGAAGCAAGGAGAAGCGCGAGGAAGAGGCCCGGACGCTGATTGGGCCGAAAGGAGGTCTTCCAACAAACCCTTGGAAAAACACAGTGCGTCGCGGCTTTCCTACCTTTTCGCGCACCTGGATCTTCTTTCTTCTGAGACTTTCTCTTTTTTGATCTTCTTTCTTCTTCTCTTCTCTTCCCTAACTCTTCCCATCTCTGCTCTTCATCTGTCCATATTGTCGGAAGTTTGACTTCTAAACTTCCTTCAATCATCAAGCCTGCATCGATCGACAACAGCCTTTGGAAGTCGTGTTGATGATCATGGTTCATGGGATGGGCGCTGGCCAATGCCATCCAGAAGTGAGTGGCTCCTGCATGAGCGACTTGGCATCCAATGGCCCAAGGGTCAAACTGAGCTGGGTGATCATGAAACTCTTTGCAGTGCAAGCTGCATGCAAGGAATACTTTTGGAAGTCTATGGATGATGCAGCCAAGAAAGCCTTTCATGACGCTGCAATGGAAGCCTGGCAGATTTGGCCGGACAACAATGCAGTGGAAATCCTCAGCCTGGAGGAGTCTGAGAAGATTCGCATCAGACTGGCGCGAGACAACGAGAACCAAAGCTTCTCGCGCCTCACTATGTCTTCACAGACAAGAACGAGCCCCTGCGCACGAAGAACCATCCTCTTCCCCTATAGAGCCCGAGCTCGCATTGTAGTCATTGTAGTCCCTGGATTTAAGGACTTGCTGGCCGACACTCTCAGATAAGATGCGCCTACGGGATCCAGATTGAGGAGAAGTGCTCACCCTGACGGCCAGTTACAATGCGAAGAAGATGGGTTGATGGCTTCTGACATGAAATCGGCATTCACGAAAGGAGAGTTCTTTGATGATGATCGTGAGCTGTACATGGAGAATGTTCGCAATCCTCAAGAACCTCAACTGCCTTTTCCTGGTTTGGTGCGTTTCAAGAAAGGCGTCTTTGGACTTAGCGACGCGCCAAGAATGTGGTATCTCCGCCTCAACAAATCCCTACTGGCACAAGGCTGGGAACGCAGCCGCATGGACTTTGCTTGCTGGCTTTCATGGTCTGAAGGCTGCACCGTCCTGGAAGGGATCATTATATCCCCCGTCGACGACCTCTTGCTTGGAGGAACGATCGTCGCGCAGCAGAAGATGCTTGAACTGGGCAAGGAACTTGGCTATATGGCTCTGTTTCCTACGACATTTTCACCTACTGTGGAAAGAAGATCGAGCAGCTGGATGATGGAACAGTTCAGATCTCCATGAAGGAGTACCATGAGAATTTGAAGACAGTTGCAATCCTCCCTCACGGCAGATAGCAACCTGATTCTCAGCTGACTCAGCCTGAACGTCGTCAGTTATGAGCCCTGCTTATGGCTTGTTGCACAACTGCGCTTCGACATGGCTACATGCTGTCCACACTTCAAGACCTTGCAGAAGGCCAACCTTTTGGTCAAGCAGTTCAAGCAGCACCCCAACTTTGCCATCACCTTCCAACCTTTGTGCTTGGAGAATGCGGGCATCATGGTAGTAACAGACGCCTCGTTGGGCAACGTTACGAAGCTGGGTGGAGCCGAAGGAAGCCTGATGGAGAAGGTCTACAGCCAGAGTGCCTAGTTTGTTTTGTTGGCTGACCGAGATCTACTTTGTGGCAAAGAAGGTTCTTTCATGGTGATCGATGCTCGAAGTCATCGATTAGCAAGAGTCTGCACAGATCAACATACTCTGCTGAATTCCAAGGAACCGAAGAAGCTGCAGACGTCGGCATTTTCTGCTGTGGTCTCTTTGCCAGCTTCCTGGGCTATCCTATGAATCAACCCCGTGCTCTGGATGCTATCTGTGCGATCCCTTTGGCTTTGGAGACTGACGCCAAAGATGCCTACGAAACGGGAACGTCGGACACACCGACGTATGGAGCTCAGAAATCCCTGGCATTCACAGTGGCATGGTTGCGCCTTGTTTTTGGCACAACCCAATATCATGTTGAAATGGACGGCCACTGAGAACATGTGCGTGGATTGTGACATGGAAGACATGTATCGTGATCACATGCATCGAATCTTGAAGAGCGGACGCTGGAGTGTGGTCTACAACCAGGACTTTGTGAAGCAGAAGACGAGCAAGCGCTCCTTTGGGTGAAAAGTCACCTATTTTTCCATACCTGGCTCAATTGAGCGCAAGCCGAGGTTGGCACCACAGACAAGGTGTTGTGATCAATGTAGCAAAGATTGCCAAATCCTTTAGGACTCCAACAGCGCGTTTTGATCCCAAGGAGTATCCCTTACGGACCACATATGGCCGATTTGACACGCCTGAAGGCCGGTCGCAGTGGAGGGTTTTGGGAGAAGCCGAAAAGTATGAGGATGCACAGAACCCTCATGCTCTTCGTAGCTGTGCGGCAGCTGTTCTGATGTCCGTGTTCAGGAGTTCTCTTGCCACAAAAGAAGAGAATCCGCTGAAGAATCATGCGATTGCCAAGGAACATTCCACCTGAACACTGATGTCACCTGCCGTGGCCTTTTGTATCAATCCCCATTTTAGGCCTTTCGCCAAATAAATGTGCTACGCAATAGCTGCGGAAGAGCTTGCTGCCTGAACTGCCTGCCTGCAGTCACAACAATTGTAGAAGTCCGAGCTTTGTGAGTTCTAGAAGTATGTCAGACGGGTGAAAGGAGAATGGTATTGCGTGGTCTGAAGTTAGGACATACATACAGTTTCTAGAACAAGCGCGAATAATGCCTAGCATGAGTTTGTGCAGTTGAACTTGCTGATTATACCTCGACCACGTTAACCAGTGAAGGCCTTTGAAGACGCAGAAACCTTGCGATAATGTTCTCAAAGATTTCACATGCTTTTGCACCACCAAGGATCGTCCAATTTCTGGACGACAATGCCGAGGCGAATGGTTTGCAACATCTTGTATTTGGGAAAGTCTGAAAGCCAAATCTGAAAACACACGCTTTGTGGTCCTTTCAGGCTTTGGGAGGTGAAAATTTGTCAAAGTCCATGTGCATGTGGAGAACCCTTCGATCGCTTTACTCCTTACTTGATCGTATGAAGATTGCCTTCGCAAAACAAGCAGGAATAATCTCTTGCAGAGTGTGGCCAGTCAGCAGATGAGAACATCTTAAACCAGTAGCAAAACAATAGTCCATTACACAAACATATTAACCAATTGTCAGGACAATTACATGTTTACATATATTTTCTAGATCTCTCCAGATATTTCCAGATATCTCCAGATATCTGCAGATATCGCAACTTTCAAACATGTTCAAACAAGTTTCAAATTTGAGGAGCTGAAATAGATGGAAGGGGACTTTCATGACAAGCTTCGCATCGACCTGGACGCTCTCCCTGGCCTCCTCTCAGATACACCCACTGCCAAGGCCATGAGGCCGGCGCAAAACACGACGATTCTTTATGGTGTAGCCTGTGCAGCTGTATTGTGTATGTATGTATGTGTATGCATCTCTATGTGCTATGTACGTGTATATATATATATTTAATTATATATTTTTATATTTATTTACTTATATATATATATATTTATATTTCAGTATTTATATATTTATATACTTAAATATCTATATATTGATATTATATATATATTTATATCTGTATTTATTATATATATATATATTTATATGTATTTATTTTTTTTAATATATTTATATTTATATATATATATTTTAATGTATATATTTCTGTATATTTATATAGTTATATATTTTTATATTTGTGTAGTTATATATTTATATATTTATATATTTTTATATTTATATAATTATATATATATATTTATATTTTTATATTTTTTTAAATTTATATATGTATATATTTATATATTTTTATTTTTATATATTTATACGCGCAACGCCTGGGCTTTGCCCAGGCGTAGCAGCGTAGAGGTTTCCCATTCACAAACAAATGATGTTGCAAATTACCGTACTTCCTCTGGGGAAAATAACAAAGGTACTAGGGACTATTAAACAAACAAGGTCAAAACACCCGAAATTCCTATGGGACAAAAAACGGCATAACATTTGAAATTCCTATGGGGAAATTTTAAACTCTCAAATCGTGAAACTTAACATTCAATGAGGAAGATCAACAAAGATATTAGGGAATATTAAACTCCCACCCCCGTTAAACCTTAAATTCCTCTGGGAAAACAACAAAGGTACTAGGGACTGTATTAAAAAATGCCAAAACACCCGAAATTCCAATGGGAAAAGCAAGGATTTGGCAGAGGCAAGGCAAACAACACAAACATCTCTGGGTCTGTCCTTCGTTTTCGTGCTCTTCATTCCGTGCTCCTTGTCAGGCCGACCTCACTGCCACTCCACTCGACGAGATGCTGCAGGCGAGCGTCGACCCGGAACCCTGGCGCATTGACCGAGGCGGGGATGCCTATTGCCCATTTGTCATGCGCCATGACCTGCATGATATTATATATTAATGTGTTTGTGTTCTGGGCAGCTGTCATCAGGTACCAAAGACGCGTACCTCCGGGGGCGCCGTCGATTTAAAGGTGGTCTGACATCGCTAGCCAGGAAACCGCAGCTGCCCATCTCCGGGCCAAGCGGGACCGGCTTTGCGGTGTCAGACCCCTGGCATACTTTGCAGGCCGGGTCCTGCGCACACACCTTGCTGATTAAACTGTTCTTGATCAACTCAGCCCCCCAAAAAAGATCGCATGGTCACATGCATAAGCGTAGTATCTGTCCGCATGCATCCATGCATCCGTGCACACATGTCCCTTGGGCCTCGCCAGGACCGACAGTGCCACATCGTAGTGAACGGCTCGGTGTGGGTCGGTCAATTCGCCGTCTGGCGGTTCCCCGTCATGCAATCAGCCGACCTAGAAATTTGGGAAGCCTGCCCTCTTCCCGAATTTGCATGGCAGGTGCCAAATAACTGCGTTATTTGCACCTGCATTGGGTCCGGTTGTGTTGCTCTAGGGGGCGGCGATTATGATGGTGACCTTTTGATGTTCACCTCTGATCCTGCCCTTCTAGCTTTTTTGGAATTCACAAATGGCGGTCGCAAACTGCCTGAATTCGTCGCTGCGCGCGGGGAGATCGAACGGCATGTAAAGAGTGTACAGTTCAAGCCGTTGCCTCTTACAAGCATTATGCACTACAGGCATCATTGCTTGACAACTCCCACACCGCAGATTCGGGGGCTCCTCACTGCGATGGCAGAGAAGGCGCAGCAAGCGGCATTTGAATCCCTTGCACCCCACCGCGACGGGTCCCTAATTCGGGCCGTTCGCTTGGCCGTCGCTGCCGAGAAGGCTTACGACGCGCCGAAAAAAGTGAACGCAAAGGCCATAATTGAATTGGGTCATACCCTACTTCGAGATGCATGCCTGCAAATGGATTCGCCGCGCTCTACGATTTCACTCCGTCCATTTTCTGTATGCACAAGGCGCTCCTCAGCTTGACCCTGAGAAGGTTCTGTGCAACTGCATGCCCAAATTCAACTTCCCCTTGGGCCAGGTTTGGATGCCTTTGCCCAAGGTCTTTTTATCTGCGGCGACCGGGGCAGCAATTCGCTGTCGCATGTTTCACCCTCGGCATCTCCATGGCATTGCTGATCCAGTCGAGCATATCGCACTGGACGAAATAGCCGGTGCCGTGCGTCATCGCATTGCCTCCAAAAGCTCGTCGGTCAGGCAGCTTGTACAGGCTGGAGATGCCGATGCCTTAATTCAACGGGCGCAAGCCCTTGCACGCTCAAAGCCCAAGGCTATCAGGACACCGTCCGCGCTGTATTTTTCCGACCTTTACTGAGCCAGGGCAGCTGCAATTGACACGATTTATAAGCGATCCAAAATTCCAAAACTACACATATCAAATCACTTCTTACGTAGCAAGCCTACAGCAATCATCTCTCAAGTGCCTCTCGTTCGTTACATAATACCCATCGCAATCATTGAGACCAAGACACGACAACATTGCAGGGCTCAGATGAATTTGCACAGCACAACGAAATCGATCTGCACTGCAAACCTTTTGCGATTGCTTCGTCATTCAAAAAAATTAGATCTGTGCTGCGCGTCGGCCTAGCAAGCACCCAGCAAATCAACATATGCGGCGTATTCACAGTTGTTCCGCCGGCTTGCATGTTCATTTTGTCACTGGCTGCACATCCATGCCCACTGTTCGATCCCTGAGGCCTTCCGTCTTCTCGGACCCAACGCCGCCCGGGACCCCATCCACTGTGAAATGCACTTCCGCTGAATGACACATCCATCAATCTTGCACAGTCGCCATTCGTGCCAATCCGCATCATGCAAGCATGTCTCCTACTGTGCCATGTGCTTAACCAAGCACACTCTCAATTTTAAAAATGCCTGTCAGATTATAAACATTTCCGTGTCGTGTCACCTGCCACTTAGCAAATTGGCCCACGTCCGCTTTCAGGACCCTTCCTCGAACTCGCCCACGCCATGAGGGCATCAAAAGCTGCAAGCCACCTGGTCACACGTTTATGGAGCCGGGGGGGGCTACATCCCATCAAGGCCGTCCAAGAATGACAATGTTGCATTCGCGATGAACAAAACTGCAGTGCTTTTCATCTCGATCCCTTTCGCCGTGATGACACATACCTTAAGAACCCTGAAACCAGAAGTGAATCCCAACAGCGATGTTGCAAAATGCAACCAGCAGCAGGAAATGGTTCTGTTTTATTTCCATCTCATTTGCATGCTTCCTTTGTTCTATGTGGCTCGGCCCTTCACAATAGCCAAACCTGCGTGACCGAAACACGATGGACCCGAGGCCGATGTCGGTGCAAGATCGCCGAACTTCGCCAGTCTTCGTCTTCTTGATCAGCCCATATACACTGGTCTTTCCATTCACGCGACGAAAATGGAGGACCGATCACCCATCCACCTGATTCTTCACAGAACATGCACGCTTCGATCGAAGCCACTGGGACGCGTATATAGGCCATATTCTGTTGGCGTCGCCTTCGAGACATATCCGGCTAGGCTATACTCCATATAGCATAGAAGGCAGCACATCGCTGTGAATTTCTACAAAGCAACTCTTCCTTCATAAGCTCCACGCGCCGATTTTGCCCATACGACAACCTCACTGTCCACCATGACCCACCTATCGTGAAAACCTAGATGTGAACAAGGACTTGGAGCCACCACAATAACCCCAGCGATACCAAAGATGCAAGGGGTGGACATAGGTTTGTGAAATTTATGCAACTGGTTAGAAACACGAGGTATATAAGCGATGGAACCTTTCCGAATTAGCGATATTCCCACACTCCCCCCCGTTCCAGGCGATGTCGTTTTGAACATGGGTTTCTGACACCATTTGTGAACCAGATTTGGGCCCACAAAAAAAAGTGAAGAGCTCCTAAGAAAGCGCTCTTCTTGAAACCCATGGAGCGGCCCGCAGAGAAGGGAACCCGCAAAAGCGGAGGCCGAGTCCTTGCAAACGCGTTTGTTTCACTAGCTGCCAGCTGCCTGCGCATCCTTGCCTTGCATTTTTCATTTACTCTCCACTTGAGCTTGCGCCATTTCCATTGCCTCTCCACTGACTTGATATCCCCACTGCCCTTGTTTAGTGAAGCTTCTCTGTGACGCTTTCCTGCAGCAAAGATGCTTGGTCGAAAAAGAACCACAGCATCCGCTCTGGAGTCCCGCAAAGCATCAATCTTCCTGCAAGCGATAGCCACCAAGCTTGCCATATACATGATTTTTGTATATTTTTGTACAAATTTGTGGCGAGCGATGGAACCTTTCCAAAGCCGTGGATGTCCACTCCGTGAACCTATAGGGTTTTCGAGGTTGTCCATGTGTTTATACAACTTTTTTTGTAGCAGGATTTTCATCGCAGTGATTACTTGGAACATATCTATGTCCATAAATTAGCTACCTTGCTGTTTCTGCCAGCGCAAAGAAATTTCAAATTCGTGTCTTTGTGAGATGTACAACCTGCTGTAAACAGGGCGACGAAACGTTTGTAAACGACAGCACGACAACCCCGACATATAGCCTCCTGCATACTATTGCAACAGCTTCGCGAAGATTACAAGGCCCGACCCCGATCGAATGAGCTACTCTGGTGATACACGCAAAGATAAGGGCGTTGCAAGACACGCGCATCAAAGAATGCATAGTAGGCCGGATGCAAAAGCCAGTCTGCAAATAGATACGCATATAACTCAAACTGTGTTTTACTGCGGGCGCACAACCCCACAACATCACAACATTGACCCCCGCGTGCGGCAACATGATGTGAGTGGAACGCGTGGTGTGTCTAGCTTAACTATATATAATATTATTAGATATGGATAAATCGCAAGTACTTATGCCCTGCTTCAAAAACTAGGGCGCTTGGTCTTCCTATGCGTGGGACGAACCAAAAAAAAGCGTTCAGCTGTGTTGCCGATTCATTTTCGACCTAGTATTTTCTTATGCCATTCGTGCATACCACTGCCAAGGAATATACACCTATTTGATGACCGTCCGCTGCGCTGCCCAGGGGTCCATTTCTGGCAGCGCTGAAGCAGCAGCGGCGGCGCCAGCAGAGGTGGTGGGACGCCTTACCACCTTGGACGACAAGTTAGGCGGTGGTGATCTGCGAAGTTTGGTGAGCATTGGGATGCATGACGGTGCTAGGAGCGGCGGCAGAGGGCTAAGGCAAGTGCCTTTTCACGCTTCGCGTGCTGCGTGCGGCGATGCTTTATGCCCCATGCGTCGCGGGCGATCTGGAGCGTCGACTCCTGCCATGCCAGAGAGAAACAGAGAGAGAGAGAATGCTGGTGGAGATTGAGGGATCAGAGCTTGCATTGCATGAATTGAATGTAAACACTTGGAAATTTTCCTTCTTGCAAGCGGAGAGGAATGCGCCCAAAAGATGTTCCGCCTTCCGCTTGTCCTGTCGCAATTTAAAGTAAAACGGGAGAGATTTCATGAGAGGGGTGATCGCGGCAACGACATGAGTTATATAGTGTCTACTAGAGATATACGACAGGGTAGCAAAATTCTTGAAATAGCGGCATATTGGTGTTCACTATAATAGCCTTACAGCAGTGCGCCTCATCGTCTGCGCACAGGAGTGTGCGCATTTTAGCGGCTGCGTGCAGCTGCGGCACCCAGCGAGGTGGATCAAACGCATCGGAGCTATCCTGCATTTGGCACGGCAAGGGAGGAGAGCATGGATGCAATGAGCAGTGGAGGTTAAATATGTTCTTTGGGACAGCGCAAAAATCCATCATGTAGCAATTTAAGCAACCCAGGTCCTGAACGATGTCCAGGCCCAAGTGCTCCTCGGGTCCGTCCGCCATCGCCGGGTATACCATCTTGGCAGTGGACGTGGGGAGCCGCAGCTGCCATGCTTCCGTCGCGTCCTGTTCGCATGGGAAAGAATAAACATGGACTGGAACAAAGTTGACGCGACAGGTTTGTATTCACGGCAAGACAAGGATATATATATATATGTCCAAGCCTGAAGGCGTTATAAGTGACAGTCCCCGGCCTCGCCGACGATGAGCAGACCCTTGCCCAGGACGTGCTGGCCGGTGGCAGTTTCGCGAACGGTATCAGGGAATATTAAACTCCCACCCCCGTTAAACTTCTACATTCATTGAAGATCTCCAATAGGGGCTTAATTCTTCTCCCACCCCCGGTAAACTTCTACACTCATTGAAGATCTTCGATGAGGGTTTAATTCTCCCACCCCCGTTAAACTTCTACAGTCATTGAAGACCTTCAATAAGGGTTTAATTCTCCCACCCCCGTTAAACTTCTACATTCATTGAAGATCTCCAATAAGGGTTTAATTCTCCCGCCCCCGTTAAACTTCTACACTCATTGAAGATCTTCGATGAGGGTTTAATTCTCCCACCCCCTTTAAACTTCTATATTCATTGAAGACCTTCAATAAGGGTTTAATTCTCCCACCCCCGTTAAACTTCTACATTTATTGAAGATCTCCAATAGGGGTTTAATTCTCCCACCCCCGGTAAACTTCTACATTCATTGAAGACCTTCAATAAGGGTTTAATTCTCCCACCCCCGTTAAACTTCTACATTTATTGAAGATCTCCAATAGGGGTTTAATTCTCCCACCCCCGGTAAACTTCTACATTCATTGAAGACCTTCAATAAGGGTTTAATTCTCCCACCCCCGTTAAACTTCTACATTTATTGAAGATCTCCAATAGGGGTTTAATTCTCCCACCCCCGGTAAACTTCTACATTCATTGAAGATCTTCAATAAGGGTTTAATTCTCCCGCCCCCGTTAAACTTCTACACTCATTGAAGATCTTCAAAAAGGGTTTAATTCTCCCGCCCCCGTTAAACTTCTACACTCATTGAAGATCTTCGATGAGGGTTTAATTCTCCCACCCCCTTTAAACTTCTACATTCATTGAAGACCTTCAATAAGGGTTTAATTCTCCCACCCCCGTTAAACTTCTACATTCATTGAAGATCGTCAATAAGGGTTTAATTCTCCCACCCCCATTAAACTTCTACATTCATGGAAGATCTTCGGTAAGGGTTTACTTCTCCCGCCCCCGTTAAACTTCTACATTCATTGAATATCTTCGATGAGGGTTTAATTCTCCCACCCCCGTTCAACTTCTACATTCATTGAAGATCTTCAATAAGGGTTTAATTCTCCCGCCCCCGTTAAACTTCTACATTCATTGAAGATCTTCGATGAGGGTTTAATTCTCCCACCCCCGTTAAACTTCTAAACTTCTACAGTCATTGAAGACCTTCAATAAGGGTTTAATTCTCCCACCCCCGTTAAACTTCTACATTCATTGAAGATCTCCAAAAAGGGTTTAATTCTCCCAGCCCCGTTAAACTTCTACATTCATTGAAGATCTTCAATAAGGGTTTAATTCTCCCACCCCCGTTAAACTTCTACATTTATTGAAGATCTCCAATAGGGGTTTAATTCTCCCACCCCCGTTAAACTTCTACATTCATTGAAAATCTCCAATAGGGGTTTAATTCTCCCACCCCCGGTAAACTTCTACATTCATTGAAGATCTCCAATAAGGGTTTAATTCTCCCGCCCCCATTAAACTTCTACACTCATTGAAGATCTTCGATGAGGGTTTAATTCTCCCACCCCCGTTCAACTTCTACATTCATTGAAGATCTTCAAAAAGGGTTTAATTCTCCCACCCCTGTTAAACTTCTACATTCATTGAAGATCGTCAATAAGGGTTTGATGATGTTGATGATGATTATGTTAGAGATCATGATGTTGATGTTGATGTTGATGTTGATGATGATGATGATGATGCGTCGCCCGTCGTCATTGCGGGTCCGGGCAAAACCCGGCATTTGCCGTATTTATATATTTATATATTTATATATTTCTATATATTTATATAGTTATATATTTTTATATTTATATAGTTATATATTTATATACTTATATATTTTTAAATTTAGAAAATTATATACTTATATATTTATATATTATATATATATATATATATTATATATATATATTTATTTATATATATATATTGATATATTGATATATTAATATATTAGTATATTTAAATATTTATATATTTGTATATTTCTACATTTCCATATATTTATGTAGTTATATTTATATATATATATTAATATATTTATATTTTTATATATGTATATATTTATATATTTATACATTTATATATTTGTATATTTATATATTTATATATTCATAGCTAAATATATTTTGTATTTTTATATTTTCATATTTTTATATTTATATTTTATTTATTTATATATATATATATATCTATTTTATCTTTAAATATTTGTATATGTATATATTTTTATAGTTATATATTTATATATATTTTTAGTTATATATAAATATATTTACATATTTAAATAATTATATGCACATAATTATATACATATGTATATATACCTGGACCTTCGATGACTACTTAAATTTATGCCATTCGAACGCTTTGAGAGTGCAAACTCGCACGAAGCTTCGTTTTCACATCTTCAGCTGACAGTTTTTGAGAGAAGTCTCGCACAAAAGCTTCGTTTTCACATCTTCAGCTGTCAGTTTTTGAGAGAAGTCTCGCACGAAAGCTTCGTTTTCACATCTTCAGCTGTCAGTTTTGAGAGAAGTCTCGCACGAAAGCTTCGTTTTCACATCTTCACGCATCATTTTTGCTGAGATAACATGAGAAAACTGAAAATGGTTCAGACCAACTCCGAAGAGCTGGGATGGGTTGAGAAGAGGAGAGACGACGCGAAACGAAACGAAACGAGATGAGATGACGTGGAAACATTTGAGAAAGCACGACATGAGATGAAATGAGATGAGGTGAGATTGGATGAGACGAGATGTGAGATGTGAGATGAAAAGCGGAGAGAATGGATCAGATGAAATGAGATGAAATTGGATGAAGTGAAATGAGGTGAGAAAAAATCCAACCTTGAAAAGAGATGGCACCAGAATGACACGTCAAGAGCTTGCTGCTGCGACGCACAGAAGGCTTGGCCGCACCCTATAGGCACAGTCTTTGCTCCGCTCTATAGCTTATAATCGTTTCAATTTTGAAACTTCCACCCCCGGCTTGCCCGGGCACTGCTTGTAAACATATAGTGGATGAAACGGCATGAAACGTCAGGAAACATCAAACAACATTAATCACCATTCACATGGCAACCTTGGTGGCCTAAGCAGATGGACGATTGAAACATGGAAGTATCATTTCTGTGTGGCTGTAGGCCATCGATGTTTGGCGAATGGAGACAAAATTGGAAGTGCTATTTGAATATGTGCCTTGACAGTGTGCATTTTCCATTTGGGTCTAATGATGTTTTTGTCCGATTCCAATGGGCATCTAGTTATATAATAATCAGTATGTCTGTGTTTTTTTTGTCATGCAAAACTGATACACAATGGAGTACGTATTGGGATATTTTGGGTGTGTTGGCATGTTGATCATCATCAATTATCAATTTGTTTTGATCATCTCTTTGCATCTCAGCAACGGCGTCCCCAGGTGCTGACAACCATGGCAGAACAAAGTCCCATGAGGACCAGTTGGGTGAACACACGGGAACACTTGGGCACAAAATGGGAAAAGGGGACCATCAGAAAACGAGATTCAATGGATCTCACTGGCAGGAGATCTACTGTGCAGGAAGTATTGCGCCAGTCCTCCTTCCAATTCAAAGAACTTTGGAACAACTTGGTGTCAATTTCAACATTTCCAGTCCCCGATACTGTAGGCCGTTGTTGATCTCTCTGGCAAGGGGTTTAGAAGATCTGCGCTGCCTTCTTATTCACTTTTGCGGGATAGTATGCATGACATGTCTATGAATATATAAAGAGGTGTTGACAGATATCAACAATGTCCTCATATGTATTCATTCTGATTCTTACTGTATTCATACTGCTTTCATATTTCACCCAGCATAGACATCAGCATCCTGCCTGACGCCCAGGCAATTTCCAGCACAACATCCGCGCGATGGATCCACCTTCCAATGCTGCGCGGGATTCCTTGATCCTCAAACGACGCAGATCTCGGATCGGGAAGCCCGCCTCTCGTTGAACTCGAGGCCATCCTTCAAAGGGTAATGAACAGATGAACAGAGGATGAACAGAGAAGCGATGCAGTGATGCAGTGGCCTGTGGACAAAATACCGGAGCCCGGTATGGCCACGCTGGCCATGAAGCTGACGGGCTTGATGAGTCAAGTAAGAGCGGCAAGTGAGTCCCGAGTGGCAAATTTGATGAGTCCTGTGGGCGCTCTGGCAAGACCGGTAAATGCAGAAACATAGGCGTCTTCTCATTGGATCATGGACAACAGCTTTTTCGTTTTTCCTAGCCCAAGGTCGTCAGTTGGAGTATTTCTGCAGTCCGCAGAATCTGCGCACAAGCAGGAGTCGAAGGATCTCATTTTAAACACATTTTCCTTCTCTGCAAAAGGCTCTTGCGCTCCGTAAAGTGGCATGATGTGGCCTGTGCCAATATTTCAGGATTTCGATAATGTGTTCGCCTTTGCAGGCATGCCTGCGGGCTCGGGGTCTCTCGGCTGTGCGGATTAGTTCTGCAGGCTGATTTTTTGCCCCAAGGCAAAAGTCCAAAAGCCAGAGGTTTTCAGGATCTTGCCGAAGGCAAATGTCCGCAGACCGCGAAACTGTTTGTGCAAATGAACCGCAGAAAAAGGGGTGTGGACAATTCACTTGCAAGCTTTTGAGACTTAGGAAGGGTCTGACTCAAAAAAAATCCTTCGGCGCTGTGACCGTGCGAGACCCACCACAAGCTGAATGCTGGTCCCAAACCTTTTAGCTCAAGCCTGCGAGGGAAGTTTCACAGCATCATTTTGGCACTGGTTTGAGCAAGAATCAAGCAAGATGTGCAGCAAAAGGTCATTATCTCATGACTTTGTGACAGGCCTTTCAAAGTAGAATTCGTATCCCAAGGTGCTTGAGTAACCAGGAGCCAATGACATTATTTTAGTTACCAAAATGGCCAGTAGTTGCCAGTTGCAACTGTTGCCATTTTTGTAGGAGCGAACGTGAAAAGTGTGGCCCCCCGATGGGAGAGCCTTCGAGTCTCACCGGCGATGTGGGTCCAGCCTTTCCAGTAGTGATCCCTGTTGGGCGTGGGGATGCTCAGTTGCTGCACCTTGTCATGGCTTGACGTGTCGACGTGTCGACGTGTGGACGTTGCCTCAAGGAGCTGGCACGGCAGTGGACGAAGCAGCGACGATTTCGTCTGCAAATGCTGCTGGCAGCCAAGAAGGCACAGTTGCCTCACCAAATTTGGGGCTTCCTTTTCCCTGTACAAAAAAACTTTTGAAATCTTTTGAATGGTTGCCATGGACATATTGAGACTGCGCCAAGATGGGATTTGGTTTTAGTGGCAGTCCAGTCGCTTCCCTTTGTTCGAGAGAATCATTTAAAGCTGCGTCGTTTTTCTGGTTTGAGCCGTGAATTCCGACATCTACTGTATTTGGCATGTAAGAACGACGTTAAGTTATGTGCCCTTGACAGTGCACTGTCTTTAAAGTTCTCCAGACGAGTTACACTCTTGGGCACGTTACAGTACATTTTGCATGAATAGCTCCAACTGCAACAAGGATAAGAATCGGATAAGAAGGCAAGGCATGCACCAGCCCAGGTGCTGAAGCAGAAGCGGCCATGTGGAAGGCAAAAATTTGAGAAAGTCGTTCAGACACTGACGAATTTGTCGACATTGACACATCATTGACAAATGATACGTTTGACACCAACAGTATCATGGAGGGACTGCTGGTACCCACGGATAGACAAGACATGACTAGACTATTAACTATTAACTGACTATCAAACCTGAAGTTACCCGCATGTCTAGGCACTGGGAGACGTTGTCACGACGAGGCTCGAGGGTTCGAGGGATGTTGGACGCTTGGACACCCGGGGCATCAACCTGCGCTGGAACCAGTTGGAGCGGTGGCTCTCCTGTGCTCTCCTGTTGGACTTGGATTATGATGACTATGTTGGAGTTTCGAAAGCGGAGTTCAAAGTTTAAGTGTATCCTGTGAGAGTATCTACAGCTATGAAGCAAGATGTCTAGAACCGTTGAGTCTAGCACGCCGTAGTAGTTTGCCATTCACTTCGATTGGCCCTACTCAATTTATTTGTGATGGCAAGCCTGCTAAGCACTGGTTTTGCGAGATTGGTCATAGCATAACGAAACTTTTCTCTGTCGATTCTTAGATTGAAACTGTTCAGGTTGCGACTCGCAGCGGACCGGATATCTCAGGTGCCCCTCGGGTTAGGATTTAACAATATTTACTGTAACATATTTGAAGTCGTTTTCATTCATTTTCCATTTTGCTGCAGCTTAAGTAGGTTTGATTTTCCAGGAAGCCTGTTGAAACTGCAATGGACACTCCAGTTACCTTGTAGGTAGGTCTAGTTTCCTCTTGAGCCGTTGCATCTCCATTCGATCCATCAACCTGAATCCCTCCAATGTCCTCCAAGCCTATCATTGAATTGATGTCCCAAGGGGCACTGAAACTTGGTGTGGCGGGTGTGGCTCGCCTGGAGCCGCCAGGGTGCCCCGCAGCCGAGTGCACCACCCTTCACCAGTACGAGTAGACTCCCTCCGATCGGTCCAGGCTTGGGAAAAGGGGAAAACAACGAGCTGCTCGATGTAGACTTGATGTGGACTTGATGTCGCAAAAGACTGCAATGTAGACTTGAGAGAAATTATGAGAACTCGATCGTGAAATGTAGTGAGGATTAGCAACAAGTTGGCAGGTGATCACAGTCATGTATAATCATGTATATGTATATATATATATACATATATATGTATATATTAGCAGGGCACCCATGTATTCATAAATAGACAATATGCCGTATCCGCACATACTCACTCTTTCTGTTTTTGTCTGGCAAAGAGTTGCCAGACCAGTTGTCCAACTTGCCGAGCCCACCGAGTGGCACACCCACATGCACACACGGCCAGTTGAGATCGCATGATTTGATCATGACGCAGACACACACACACACATACATCTATGTTATATATATATATTATTATTATTGTTATTGTTATTATTTTATTGTTATTGTTATTATTTATTATTATTGTTATTGTTATTATTTATTATTATTTATTATTGTTATTATTTATTATTATTGTTATTGTTATTATTTATTATTATTTATTATTATTAATCATTATTATTATTATTACTATTAAATTATATATGATTTCCAACCATTATCAAGCAATGGCCGTAGCCTATCGTAGGCGTTCTTTTTCAGTTGTACAGGGCATCGGCCACGGAGGCCTTGGCATGGGGGCACTCCCATCAGTCCCAGTATCTGGGGCAGGCCCTGGCCCTTGGGGAACCATCCCACCCATGCCGCCTGTGGTTGGGGCCCCAGGCTGTGTTCAACGGTTGTGTCCAACGGTGGATTCATGGGCGGATTCATGGGACATGATGACATGATGAGAAGATGATTTGGATTGAAGGATTCCAAGGTCACTTTTGTTGCCAAGTTCCAAAGTCTTTGACTTTGATCTGGTGCAGAAGGATCTGTCTGCATCGACCATCTGGGGACCATCCCTTGAAGATAGACGACTGCCATCAGCCAAGGTAGCACCAGCGTGCTCCAATGGCTTGTTGTTTGTGGCAGTAGGCTCAGAGTTGTCGAAATCGTAGTGTCTCACTGTTTAACATGTCATTCATCCGATTCATCCACCAAAGTGCTGTTCTTGGGGATTTCTTGCTTGGGCTTGAAGACGCCATGTTCGTCAGGTCCTATTCAATTCCTATTGAAAGGCATTCATAGAAGACTTGAAGACATTGATAGAAGAGATTGATAGATTATTGAAATAGATGTGGAACGATCAAAAGAGTGGCCTCCGCTGGGCTTTGTCTTACTTTATTCTAATTTCAAGCTGGAATAGAATAGGAATAGCGAGCAATTCCTTGAGCGTACCAGAGAGAGCCTCCACTTGCTCAATGATTTTGAGGTCATTCCGCGAAGATGTCATCAGCACAAAGCTGGGAACTAAATTACGAGGAAGAATTGATGCAAAGGTTGGGTAGATCCATTCCTGGCAACAGAGTGGCAGGTGATGGCTCCACTTTCTATCAAGCTGTTTATAGATTTGACATAAATCAATTTTTGCGGGATGCCAATCGAATTGAGCAAGCCAAAGCCGCCAAAGCCACAAACGCAATAAAGATAAACAAGTTCCAGTTCCTGGAAGGGTGTAATTCTCAGATTGAAGACGGCAAAGATATCGAAGCCTTGCAGGATTTTGTCTTGCGGTCATCTGGCAGTGCCAAGGCCTTGCGATGCTTCTTGTGATGCCGAAAAAGTGACAGCTCTTGAACGCTTCGGGAATCTTTGGGAATCTTTGGGACTGGGAAATTAGTGGGACATTCCATGTCTTGATTTCCCTTTGAATCAATTTTAATCCAAACTGGTTGCTTTCAGTGAAACGACAATTTCCTTCAGCACCCATCTGCTGACGATTTTTCATTGGTGAAGCTGGACTGGACGAGTTTATCCCGTCGATATTCAGATAGTCCTCGAATCACGGGCCCCGCAGGCTGTTTGATTCAGAGTCTGATGAGTCTGATGAGAAATCAACATGTCCCTCCAATTTGTCACCACTTCCGGATGGTATCACGCATCAAATTGAGATGAAACGTTGATGAACGTTGTAGGAACATGAGTATCATGGAACATGATAGAACATGATAGAACATGATAGAACCAAATATGTTTGTCAGAACGGAGGCATTTGAAACTTTGCTAGACTGGTGGCAAAGCGGCAAAGCAGTTGCCGCTTGACGAAGCCATAGAGGTGCCCTTACGTTTATCATCAATGACCATCGAATCATCGAATATAATTTCTGATTGGATGCAGCCTTTTTACTGCACATGCCAGCTCTGAAAGCAATGTACGCCTCGGAAATCTACGAAAGTCACATGTCGCAGAAGTTTTTCCTCATTTTTGCTGGTCACTGCCATGGCATCAGAGTCTGCAGCTGCACCTGCCTCCAGTAGTGCCGTGAGGCAACCGGAGCCTTAATGACGTTGGGTAGATTGGAAAAGATCTGAAAATGATATGAACATATTATGATTATTATGTTACATCAGTTGCATCCTTTTTCCAATGGTTTCAGTCTTTGCGAAGGGCCCGCAAGCGTCTGACGTATTAACCATCCGATCTGTTTGACATCCTCAGCTTTCTTTGTGCTCCATCGCGACAGCTTACCAACAGAGGCGCCTGCGACGGGACCTGGAAGTGTTGCAGAAATCCCGCAATCCACAGATCTTGGTTCGTCCTGCAGAGGTCCGTGGCGAACATTTTGATCATGTTTTTTCTTCATTTTTTTCATTTGGTATTTGTGTCGTTCCTTTTCGTTCATTCATGTGAATCGTTTTCTATGTTTTCTGATGTATTCCACTTCGTGCCTAATGATTTTAATGCAGGACAACCTCTTAGAGTGGCACTTCGTTCTGCATGCCTTGCCGGAGGATACGCCCTACAGCAAGGGTTGCTACCATGGCAAAGTGGTCTTTCCAGCAGAGTATCCCCACGCCCCACCAGCCATTTTGATGATGACGCCCAGTGGACGATTGGAGACAGGAAAGCGGCTTTGCCTCAGCATGACAGACTTTCATCCAGAGAGCTGGAACCCTGCTTGGTCTGTTGAGACGATCTTAGTGGGTTTGCTCTCATTCTTCATTTCTGACGAGAAAGGCTATGGATCAGTCAGAAGCTCTGAAGAGCAACGGAAACTCTTGGCAGAGAAGAGCTGGGAAAGCAATGCAGGATCTGCCGTTTTCAGGTCCCTTTTCCCTGAATTTCTCCACATGCCAGAGACTTCAGAGACTTCTGAACAGGATGCCGGAGACCCATCACCACCAGTGCCGGTTGAAGCACAAGTGTCACACGAGTCATTTGAAGTGGCTCCCGAAGCCTTGGAAGAAGGGGTTGTCCCAGTTGTCCCTGTTTCATCTGAGCATCGATCCGAGCGATTGAATAGTTCCTCTGAATGCTGGATTTGCCGCGACGTCACGGATGAATCTTTCTGAATTTTGGACCCTTTTTCTTGTTATTTCTTTGGGAACCTTTGCTGATTCGCCAATTTTGTCAAGCACACTAAATGCATCTGCATCCGACATGGAATCAAAACTCAGTTTGACTTGTGAAGATCAATGACCAAGCCTTGCACCGATGCCGAGGAACCGCTGATTCAGCCGTGCCGATGTCGTGGTTCCATGAGTGGAGTCCATGCCAGTTGCGTGGAGGAGTGGATTCGAAGCCATCGGCGAACGGCACGTGATGATGCGCCCCCACGCTGCTCTGTGTGCCACCAGCCCTATCAAGGCCATGGCATCCATGGGGTCATACCCAAAATGCCAAGGTTATGGTTGCCACGACATAGATTCTCGTTAGTTATAAGTTATAACATAGATTGACTACAACATGTAATCTATAGTATATATACGTATATATATAATACATATACGTATATATATATATACATATATATATATACGTATATATATATACGTATATATATATATATGTAACACACACATATATTAAACTCAGTCATTGACAACGCGTTTAGTGTTGGAGTGACGGTGATTTCTATCCACTGTTGCTCGTAGCCACTAGTGCTCAAAGCAGCACGGCATATGCCCTGCGGGGCAGGCCCCTGAGGGGGAGGTAGTTCCCCTGCGGGGGGGCCTGAGAACAGCCTGCGGGCTAGAAGTAGCCCCCTGCGGGGGAGTCGGGGCTGAGGCCCAGGCGGCATCATGCCCGGTCCCTGGATTGGAGCCATGGACAATGGAGGATTCATGGCCACCAGGGACTGGGAGGTAGGAGACCTTTTTGAGTGCCGCATGTATGACAGTAGTCGAGAAGAGCAGAAGATGGCCATCTGGAGGACCACAGTTGTGGGTGAGCGCTCACACGGACGATGGCTGGAAGGGGTCCTCGAGGTGGTGGAAGATGACCATCTTAAGTGGTGGCTGACACATGGCCCGGGATCAGGTTGCAACAGAACCTTCAAGATCCACATTTGTCATGGGGCTTTGCGGTCGTGCCGGGCCTTTGACTCGAAGGATGGGCTGGCTTTCCATACCGACTACCTCAGGATGCTGGAAGTCCGTGACATTGAGTTGAGGCGAGCCGCATGGTGGCAGGTGGGTGTTGCCAGGGCAGAATTTGAGGCCTTCCGCAAGCGGCTGCTGGGTGAGGCCCGTGGTAAAGCCCATCAAGAAAAGCCTGCCGACGAAGACGTTTTCGATCTGGAGGCATCACCTGGAGATGGTGATGAATTTCCTGCTGTTGCTGCACCTGCGGGTGAGGGTGAGGGCGCACTGGGTCGCCAATTGGCCGAGCTGAAAAAGGATGTGGCCAAGGAACCCAAGAAGAAGCATAAAAGGCGTGATGGCAGAGGTCATGACAAAGCGAAGGCACGGCAAGCAGAGGCCCCGGGACGTGAGAGGAGAAAGAGATCAAGATCCAAATCTCCAGCTGGGGGTGCTTCTGGGTCTCTGGTGAAGAAGGGACCGCCTTGGTTTGGCAAGGCAAGGTCTCCGAAAGAGAGGGCCAGCTCAGGTGGAGTTTCTGATCGATCTGAAGGTCGAGGCAGGCGAAGACGCTCACGATCGCCTTCCACGAGAAGTCGAAGCCGGCGGCGAAGGAGGAGATCTCGAAAGGAAAAGGACAGAGGTCCCTATGGAATCGGGCGAGAAATGGCCTTTGACAGAGGTGAATCTGGTCCCTCCGACAGTGACTCTGCGGAGGAGGGTTTTCAACGGGGGGTCTCGGACAGGAGAAGCCACCAGCTGAAGCTCGTGGAGTACTCCCTGAAGAGGCCAGGTCGACTGGCCAGCAGGCTCTTGGTAAAGATGCGAGAGCTTCTGGCCCGCGACACCGGGACCCCCATCAACCTCCTATAGCCTCAGAGAACATGACGCCAGCAACGGCGACGGGATACTTGCTGACGGTGCTCATTCCCACACACAAAGACAAGTTGGGAGTGCGCCTGCTGCGCGAGCTGAGGACCATCTCCATGGCACTCGACTACGTGGCGACCGGCCGCCAAGAGGCCGCAGCAGATCTGTTAGCACAAAGAATGAAGGCCCTCGAACTCCAACTGGTGGACGGAGGGTGGCAAAGAGCGCAATACTTGGAACTCATCCAACCGGAAGGCGCACGTCTCGCCGAACAGGAAGAGCAAAGGATGGCAGCCAGGGAGCAGGCAACAGAAGCGAAACTGAGGCTTCAGGTTCAGCCCAAAGCTCCCTGAAATCCAGAGCCAAAAGGAAAAGGAGACGGGAAAGGCAAAGGTCGAGGAAAGAAAGGAGGAAAAAGAGGCGAATGGACGGCCGCCGCGGCGGAGATGAAGGAGAAGGCACCTCCCTCATAGCCGAGCCCCTGGACACGCTCTGCAGTGATGTTGAAGTCGATGATGGTTCTGATTCAGGTCAAGATGTGGTTGGAAGCTCTTTGAGAGCAAGGCTTCCTCAGCGTGCGGGGGCTCCTGTGAGCATGGCAGAGTGGCAGAAGGGGTGCTGTGAATTTTTCAAGGAGAGAAAGTCCTATGCGGATCTGGGCCATTACATCATATGGAGTGTGAAGTTGCTGGACTCGCCGTTGGGGCATTTTATCAGGTCGTTTTGCAATCCTGCACAGCCGACTCCGGCCGCCGAGGCCACCTTTGACCGGAAGGGGGATCTTTTGCCCATTCATCCATCGGTGGTGCGCCCGGGTCAACATGGGGTGACCGAGCAGAACCTTGAGTGGGTCCAGCTTTCACTATCCCTGATCAATTTCAATTACTGCACAGGGTGGTCAAAGCCGATTTGTGTACCCATGGACACCAGGCTCTCGGCAAACCAATGTGCGGCCCTTCATGAGGTTGCCAGGACGGTCGATGACAACATCCTGGATGCTGACATCTTGCCCACTTTGTCTGAGGCAAAAGCAGCACTACAGAGCAAGAAGTATGACTACAGTGGCAACGCAGTGGAGTATATGCAGGATCTGGAGGCGGACAAGGTTTTCCCCACCTGGCCAAGGCAGGGTGAGGCTGGCATCAGATGCATCACGGAATTTTTGGCTGGAGAAGCGCGTGAGGCAATGCAAGCCTGAGGATAAGCAGCCGGTGTCCTCAAAGCGCTCTTTGGTACGAGCCAGTGATCAGGAGTGGCTGAAGATCTGCACAGAAGGCCACAGGCGGGGAATCATGTGCATGGTGGATGATAAGGACGTCCCGCGGGACAGATCTGGGCACCTTGTAGTAAACGGTGCGGGCGGTGTCAAAAAGACCAAGGTGGTGAATGGACAGGAGAAGATTCTCCAGAGGTTCATTTCGGTCCTCATCCCGACCAATGAGCACATGCTTGAACTGCCGGGGGCACAAGACACTTTGCCCTATGTGGGGATGTTGACGGCGCTGCACTTGGGGCCTGACGAGGAGCTGTAGATGGAGCCCGAAGATTTTTCAAGCGCGTTCAACTTATTCAGTGTTCCAGAGGTTTGGTGCCCCTTCTTCGCTTATTCAAAGAAGGTTGATGGGGCGGCCTTTGGAAGACCTGACCTGGGTAAGGTCCGGCCTGCCCTTCGGGTCATTCCGATGGGGTGGAAGTCAGCAGTGACTTTAGTACAGGCAGCGGTTCGTCACATCGTGTTTGACCTTTCAGGTGTTCCAAAAGCCACCTCGGTCGAGAAGGGCCACCCACTCCCTGAGGGGAAGCATTACACGGTGGTTTACCTGGACAACTTTGACGAGATTCGAGTGTATCAGAAGTTGGCGACCGAGCTTGAATCTGGGGCCACTGGTCCGACTGACACCCACGTGAAGTTCAACGAAGTGTGCGATGGGCTTGGCTTACCGCGCAATGCCTCGAAGCAGCTTATTGGTGCCCTGGCAGGCAGCATCCAGGGTGGTGAGTTTGATGGTGTTCGGGGCACCATAAAGGTTGGGCGTGACAAGCTCAAGAACTTCTTGTCGATCAGCATGGCGCTGTTGAGTGCTCCCACAGTGACGGAGTTCACTGGATTGGAAAGGCAGCCTTCATAGCGACCTTCAGGCGGCCGTTGTTTGCGATCCTGCAGGAAGTCTTTGAGCTGCTTGAGAGATGCCGGGGGAGATCCCAAGTTTTGCCACCTTCAGTGGTTGATGAAATAGTTTGTTTCACAGGACTGGCCGTCCATGCTCAGAGTGAGCTGCGGGCGCAGGTTTCACCAGAAATCTCCTGCATGGACGCCTCGCCTTCTGGTGGAGGAAGCGCTGTGGCGGTGAAGTTCAAGTCAAAGAGCTTGGTGGTTCCTGATGAAGTAGAGGAGCAGCCACGGTGCGGGTGCTGCGGCACAGGTTTTGCTGACATGGACGAGGAGAGGCGACTGTACCCTTGCCCCAGGAAGTGTGGCGAAAGATTCTGTTCAGCCCTTTGCGCTGCAGAGCATTCAGATGGTGCGTGCACCAGGCGGGACTTCTATGCCCCAAAGTTTGGGGAAAGATTTAGCGGGCCCCGGTACCCATTGACAAAGGCCTGCGGGCTAGCAGGGATTGCGATCCAGAAGCCAATGGACAAGTTAGTACCTGGTGACCCGTGGAACATCCTCTCAGACGAGGGCAAGGAACGCTTGGCCGCGGCCGAGAGCGACCCCGCTCTGAAAGCAGAACATTGGGCTCCAGAATGCCGCACTTTCTCACGGGCAAGGGGAAGATGGATACAGCTCCCTGATGGCAGCTGGATTCAAGGACCTCGGCAAGTCAGAAGCTCCGAAGAGCCTTGGGGTTTTGAAGAGCTCACTCGAAGTGACTGATCTGTCGCGGTGCGCCAGGGGAACTTTTTCATGATCAGGAGAGCGCTGAAGGCACTGGTGAGACGGCAAGTGGCAGGGGGCCTGGCGTCGCTGGAACATCCCTACAACAGTTACGTATGGGATACCGCAGAGGTGGACTCGATGCTGGGTACCGGTGACTGGTTTGTGACTTGCTACAGTCACTGCTGCTTCGGAGGTGACCGCATCAAGTGGACCCAGCTCACCCACAACTCACCTTTCCTTCACCGTGCTTTACACTGTCCTGACTGCCCTGGGCACGCCAACCTGCGTGGCTACAGAGTGACCTGGAGCAGCGATGGCCAGCTGAGTTTTGATACAGCGCTGGAGGCGGAGTACCCCTGGGGATTCTGCACGGCCTATGCAGAGGCCTTGGCGGCTCATTTCCGCTCCATCACACCAGAGCCAGTGGGTGTCTACCCGCGGACGTTGGAGTCCCTCCTCTACACTCAAGTTCGAGGAGCGACCAAGGGGCTACAGGATGAGCAATATGTCATCAGGGTCGTCTCCGCGGTGTGCCACACCCTGAACATGATGACGGAGGATTCAGAGGCGGATCACCTCAGATGGCTTCTGAGGCAAGTTGGTCTTCGTGGAACCGATGTGCGCATCAGCATCCCTGACCAGCAGATCAGCCGAGAAGAGGTATACCCCTACCCGGCATTCAGGTGGCTTTGGAAGACAGTGCTGAGCTACAAGTGGGCTGCTGAGCAGCACATCAATGTCCTGGAAGTCACGGCGGTGCTGACGGAGTTCCGTCGTCGTCTACGAAATGTGGACAACATGAACACCAGGTTCTTGAATGTGGTTGACAGCCTGGTGACTTTCTTTGCGTTGACCAAAGGCAGGTCGGGAAGCAAGAGGATGAACAGAACCTTGCGGAGAGTTATGGCATTGAACCTGGCTAGCAAATCGGTGTTGGTCTCATTGTGGACGCTGAGCAAGTGGAACTATGCCGATGTGGCATCTCGTCGCTTTGAGAAGTGATGCCGAAGCGTCTACATCTGAAGTTTAAAGGGATCACACCAAAAACAGCCAGTGCCTACCGCAAGGAAATCCACAAATTCTTCCTATTTCTTTCCTGTGAGGAGGAGGACCTGCCGACAGATGCGTCTCACCTGGATGCCATTTTGGCAGAATACATCAACTCCCTATATCAACAGGGAGACAGTCTCACTCAAGCGGGATGGCTGCTGAGCGGCATGAAGAGATTCTTGCCTCGGCTCCGGTTCCAATTACCGACAGCTCAGCAGTATTATCAGAACTGGCTCAGAGACCATGTTCCATTGCGAGCCACCCCGTTGCCATGGCTTGTTGTCAAGGCTTTTGCAGCGGTCGCATGGCAGAGCCAGCACTATGATTTGGCGCTCCTGCTCCTTTTATCCTACGTTTTCTTTTTGCGGACCACCGAATTCTTGACGCTGCCCATTGAAAATATCGTGGTGGACAGCCGCTCTGGGCAAATCGTGGTCACCTTGGAGAAAACCAAGACATCAAAGCAGTTTCAACCGTCTTTGGTGCTGCGGCACAGGGGCCTCGTTAAGGTCGTGGCAACTGCCCTTTTTCTCACCTTCCTCCAAGAGGCCCAGTTTGGCGCTATCCTCCACGTGTTTTTCGTGAGAGCTTCACTCTTTTGGTCCGTCATTTTCACCTCGAGCAGCATGAGTTCTCCTTATACAGTTTGAGGCGCGGAGGCGCAACCCACACTTATACCTCTTCCCGCGACCTTCATTATGTCGCCCTGCAGGGCCGATGGCGGGACCTACGCACTGCCAGAATTTATTTAGATGATGCAAGAGCCACCCTTGTCAAGCTGGCCTTTACCCCACCCATTTCCCACCACCTTCACCCAGCTGCCTCCTTTTGGCTTTCTTTCAAGTAGCTCCGCCAAGGGCATCAGCTGGGTGCGATTGGGATTGGGGCATGGGGTGCCAGGCGTTTCCGCTGAGGCGGAGGTAGTTTTCTGCCTGCGGGCAAGGTCGACCTGTCTGAGGACAAGGTAGGTCAATTTAGGGGGTCTCCAGCAGCGAAGTCTCTGGGGCACCCAATCTTGACCAACCGCACGGCTGTGCATGGAAAATAGCATGGCTGTGCCGTTCCTGGGTGGATTGAAATATATATATGTATAGATAATATACACACATATATGTGTATATATATATAGAATATAATATGATACGATATGATACGATATGATACGATATGATATGATATGTCACAATACAATATAATACTAATACATTACAATACAATACACTATATATAATATAACACAACAAAACATAACATAATATAAATATAATATAATATAATACAATATAATATAATAGAACATAATATAATATGATACAATGCAATATAATATAATACAATACACTATATTATAATACAATATAATACAATATAATACACTATAATACAATATAATATATCATAACATAAAATAGTATATTATATATTATATGTATAATATATGTATAATACATATGTATATATATATATATATGTAACATGTGAGGTCTTGGGCTTAATTTAGGTTGAGAAAAACAGGATGGTACAAGACAAGAACCTATGACAAGTTGATGGATTGAAATAATTGGAATGCGTATCATGCCGGCGCGGGACTGCAGGTTTCCATTACGTAATGCCCAAACCTGTGCATATGGCAGGCTCCGAGAGGTTGCCTCGATTTAGGGAGTTTGTGTCGCACAGCTGCAGGCGGGGCAAGGCGGGCACGTAGGCTGCTTGGGCCGATTGCTACCTCCGCATTTTCAGCTGTGGTGGCAAATTTTTCTCCGTGGTTTTTTTTTCACTCTTTTTCATGGGCTACTAACGGTTAGTACAGACTGTCGCATAGTCGCATACTTTGTCCTTTGAGTAATTGAGTAACACCATTGGAAAATGTTAGGCAGGACAAATTTAATCAAATTTCCATGGCTGCAAGCTGCCAGGGCGATGGGAGCACAATGTGGCAGAACGCTTCTCTTGGTCTTGGCATTGATGTTGTTTCAGGCACGGATTGCTGCATGCTGCATTACTTGCGGAGTGGAATGTAGTAATCTTCAGATTTTGGCATGACATAGAAAGCTTCTACCATGGAAGTCCATCGAAATCCCACATATTCCCCGGCAGCCCTGGCGACTACCTGGTAGGCACCAGTGGCTGGAAGGCTCTAGCAGTCTGTATCAGTCCATAGACTTTTAAAGTATAACTTCTGGAAGATCGGCTCCAGGTGTTTCAACAACGAAGCAAGAATTCCAGCAGTGTCTGAAAAGTTCGAATTGAAAACATGTAAAGGTTCGAACATGTTCCAACATTTCCTGTTGGCTTTGGCACGGATTCTTTGTGCAGGAGTGTGCGATGGACCCAAAGCTGCCAATCGCTGTGCGGGTGTTGGGCATTTGCCTTTTTGCTCTGTTGGCGTTGTATCGCTTTCTGATTCTGATGGTGTCGTTACCGCCACATGGACAAGCACCTGAACAGCGCTGGCTGCAGCCCTTCTTTATTGCTGAAACCAGGGAGTTGACAACGCACATGGCAGAAGCTGCAGCAGCGAACACCGCGACTTGGCCGTAGAAAAGCCATCTGTGGCTCTGCAATTTTGGTTACTGCTTGAGGTTCCGGAGCCACTGTGACTTGATGGAATAACATCGGAATCACTTCGGAATAGCCAATTGCCGAATTTTCAACGTGGGACTTGCCCTAATATCCAGTCGCAGGGACGGCTGAGTAGCTCTGATCAGCTGTGAGCTGATGGGAGGCTAGCAGCTGGCAGCTGAATATAGCTGAATGATTTCTGAGATTTCTGAGTCGCTGAGGTTGTGATTGGTTGGAGCCTTGTCGGTATCATCTCCTGGCCCTACGTCTTGGGTTTCTGCGTACTTCTTTTGCTCCTTGCGATCAAGCTCCTGTTGAGGTGCGGAGTCGTGAGTTCGGCTGAGGGCTGGAAGTTGGCCAATGTTTGCCATGTGCAGCAGATGGAACACTTCAGAGGTGAAACGTTGGAACCCTTTGCTGCAACTGAAGATTTCAAATATCAGTGTTGCCAACAGAAATGTACACCATCCGGGTAAACAACCAGGTTATTCAGCAATCGCACAAGGGACATACCGACTTGCTTTTGAAGATAAAGAGAGCAAGGAATAAGTTGGGAGGCTTCATATTTTTTCGTTTTTTTTTGGGGACATGGCATTTAGAAGTCATGGCATCCAATCGGGGTCATTTTGACCGAGTCAGAAAGATGTATTGAGAGAGGCAGCCAACCTGGAGATGTTCGAGGGAGTGCTTCATTCGCTATGCTCGCGCCGTTGCATACATCGTCTTGCACCTTGCCTTGAACCTTTGCACATCGTTGAACCTTCTTTGATTGAGCATGTCATAGCATGTCTACATGCACACATATTCTGGTGATTTCTGGTGTAGTTTCGCTGGCTTCTAGACTTCCAATATATGTGAATCATTGTGAATCCGAGTTCATGACTGTCGCTGGGACAGCTTTTTGCTTTCCAGAGTTCCATTCCGGGGTGGCCAGGCATTTTGAACATGGAGAGATGGAGAATCCCTGCACTCTATTTCGAAGAATTTCTGTTCAGAACCCGTACAGTAAATCCTTGGGTTTCTGTACATCCATCATGCAGCTTCCATGGGATGAGCCCTTTACAATTCTTTACAACTGTCGAGAGGTTTCCTGTGATATTGGTCTTTGCCATCTGCGAGTTCCTCTGGAAGGGTGTTGACAGACAGAACTGCGATGATCACCGAAGTCAATTGATTTTCTTCATGTTCATAAGAACTTTCTCCCTCGTGCTCAATCATTTGTTGCATATTGCTTGCAAATCCTCTCAACGATGGGATGGATTGGTTTGAATTTTCCGACAGAAAGAAAACACAAAAACTGTCGTGGAAACTCATGGAAACACTTGGTTTGACCCCAAAGATGCATGATGATGGATGCAGAACCATATATAGTAGCCATATGTAGCCATATGTAGCCATATAGAATATCCATGAATATCCCTTCAAAAATGTTGAATTGTTGAAACCAAGCTGGATGCCAGGAGATACCCGCGATCATTGCATCCTTTGGGTCCAGCTCCTCATTTGGCGATTTCCATCGCAGCATCTGGGACTGCCGTCGTCGACCTTGGCAGCCAACAGTGATTTTGAGATGGATAGTATGGAATAGTATGGATAACATGGACAAATCGATGGATACAATATGATACAATCACATGGATAATCCGGATTTGATATGATTTGATGAGAATCGTCATTGGAACAAAAGACATGGTGGATGCCAGAGGTTCCGATCTTAACTTTGTCACCGTTGTCGTTTCGCAAACGGCCTGAGGTAATTCCTCTGGCAATGACCGTCAGCTCGAACCTGCCCCTGCTGATCATTTGGGGGTGCGAGCTTCAGGGAAATGAAGTTGGTGACGATTAAGAATCCGAAATCACTCCAATCGGTCTTTCAGCATCAAGGCACTTGAGAGTAGCAACCAGTAATAGTATGTAATAGTAGTATTCCATGTGTGGTGTCAATTGTTTGGAAATTGACAATAATGGACCAGTTCCCACAAAAACTTTGGTTCCGTATCATGAAGGATATGAAGGCTCTGGGTTTAGGCTGTGGGGTCAGGCTGTGGTGTTGCGTGGTTCCTTTAGAGTTCTCTGTTCCAAGTTTCCATTCGCCGTGCACCATGCCGGCGCCTGGATCGCTCTGTGGAACCACTGCGATGTTCCGCATGAGTTTTCTCCGAAACCAAGCGATCTTTGTCACTTTACCGTTTCTTCCCAAACCGATCAAACTGCTTTTCTTCTTTGCCTTTTGGATCCAAGAATTCTTGGAGCCTTGATGAAAATTGAGGAATTAAGGTCTTGCGGGTAATGAAGTGGCACAAACCTTTTGAGGTCAGAAACTTTTTCATGCTGCGGGACGGGCAGCGCCTAGAGCTTCCATCCATCCCTAGGTTCACTGGCCTGTTCCAACACAGAGCATACAAGACTCATGATTCTTAACTGAGATATATTGAGATAGAATTCGGTATGTCTTGAATTCGAACGATAGACTGACCGGGTGACGAATGACAAGATGCAAGTTCGGGTCTCTGGACAAGCACCGAGACAAAACGCCCTGATGCTCGTCAAGCACAATAGCAGACACACGTCAAAGACGTCAGAGAGCAAGACACAGAACTGGATGAGGCAGCTGTAGACGAAGTACGAAGTAGAACCAGACTAAGACGGGAAAGACACACTGAGCAGTCTCCAAATCCTGGAGCCAGCAACGCAGAAGACGTAGACGCCATACATGTGACAGTTGAAAACGAACGTCAATGCCCCATCCTCGTCACAGCTCATGGTGATGATCCAAGATCCAACCCTCTTGGAGCGGTGCCAGGGCTACCACAAACATGTTTTTTTTTTAAATCTCATGAAGCGGAGGAAGGAATTAAAGCAACTCAGTTCCGGATTTGCGCCAGTTGCATCAGCTAGTTCGATGCTTTCCCACACGATCCCTCAGATTTGGCAGGTTCTAAAGCCACCAGCACTAGTCGCACTAGTCGCCACGTAGCAGGATCCACGTCTTGTTCCTGTTGGTCGGGCTGATCGAGCTGTTTTTGGTAAAGCGCTGGCGCTGGAAGCGAGGGTTGGTTTGGGTCATCGTCTTGCAGGCGGGGAAATGGAGCCGAGGGGCCAAAGATCAATGAGAGCAGATCTAGGTCAGATCCAGTTGGACAATCAGAAGACACCTTTACCATCCATCAATTTTTCATTGAGCCCAGAGGTTTTATTTTGATTCGGTGGTGGTTGCACAAACAACTTAGATTGAACATGATTATGGCATCCAATTTCAGTGCAGGTGTCCTTGATGGGCTGCTCCTTGGCGTCAAACTTTTGGCGTGGCAGCAGATTCAGTTTTGCGGCTTTGCGTATGCTGCGCTGATACACTGAGGTTACATCAGCAACCTTTGCGAATTCCCCAAAGGCGCAAAACAAGACCTGACGTGATGCACGGTAAGCGCGGAACTTTTCTCCGTAAAGCAGATGTATCCCTGGACGTCTAGCGTGCTGAGCACGCTGTATGTGCTGGAGGTCTTTTGAACATTTTCAAATATTTTCAAGCTATATTTGTTCCAATTTTGGAAACAGCTTTATTTTCCAATCTTGAACAACTGGCAGGCATTGGAAATACGTCAACTTCGCAAATCATCATTGCAGGTGGGAGTCGGAGTTTGAAATTTGCTGGCCGTACCAAGTCACCAACGTATTGGGATCATGCGAAGCAAATCTGAGATGATTAGCTAGAAAAAGGGTTCCAATTTCAAGCCCCTTCTTGTTAGGCGTAGAAATGTTTACTTGAAGATTGCACTTTTCTTTCAAATTCTTTCAATAGGTCTAGGTTCAGGAAAAGGCTTGTCATCGCTCGCCTAATTCAACAAATCTCAAGATGAAGATTCTTGTCAGCAACATCTAGATAGGCTGATAGGACTAAACCCCAGACCCTGCAAGCCAGACCGGCGAGGGACTTGGTTGTGGCCTGTTTTGCTGGCCGCCCGAAACTATTGGCATTTAATGGCACCTTCCGAGTGCGACCATTTCTTTCCAATCTTTCCATGTTCATCCATTTTCATCCATTTTGTTCATTTCCACTGCGGATGGCAGGAAGTTCTTGCAGTTGGCTGCTGTTGATCGTGGTGCTGACGCTGAAGATCAATTGGGAGCTTTGCGTGCAGCAGCTTGGAGATACACCATGCAGCAACCGCCGTGGTATGTTACGGTTTCATCCGGTTTCAGGTTGATCCTGAGGGTTTCAAGACGCCAATTTGTCGAGGGAAAACATTTTCTTGAGTGTTGATCATTTTGATCATTGCACTACTGCCTGCCGTATCAAAAGCTGGACAGACTGTGGATTTGAAATGATTTGAGCAATGATCGCGGTGTTGTACGGTGTCATAATACATGTCCATTCTGCATATCCCCATTAGCTGTTTCTCTGGCCCCACAATATCCAGATGTATCTTTTTTACACGTAAAAAAACAAATCCTGCATTTAGAAGACGGCTGTCCTGGCTTTGACATGGTCCGCAGGTACTACCGCACTTGGCAGCGGCGCCATGGTAGTTTCACCCTTGATCCCAGCGCTGCTCCCCAGAGCGCAACTGCCACTGCCTGACAGGAGAGCTGTGCTGCAAGACACGCAAGGTGAAGATTTACTTAATTGATTTGGTATGATTTGGTCTCCTTTTCAATCTTTTTCATGTTGTTTCCCTCGTTGTTTCTTCACTTTGGTGAGCCTTGAAAGCAAAGTAAGAGCAGCTCCTTCAGGCAGTCAATGGTGGGGTGGGAGCTAAGTACAGCCACCAGCCACATGGTCGCCCCAAAAATGCGGACAAGCAGTATGTTTGCTGTCATCGAAGATTATTAGAAGCTGAAAGCAGGTGGCCAGCAAGCATTGTCGACCGCCATGAATTGTGTCCTGAATAGTAGATTTTTCTGACATATTTTGATATGCATTTGTAGATTGTTATCTGTTGCCACAGTCGAGCCTTGCACTGGCTTCTCGTGTAAAAGTGGGATACACCTCAACGAACTTTGGCTCAATTGCACGCATCGTTGGTGCAGTGTCTCGCGGGGGGGCCATGCCCAAAACCAACGCATTTCAGTTTCGTAAGGTTTGCAGTTCCACGGTTCCACCTAATTCACAGCTGCACCGCAATATTTGCATGTTGCATGCTAGCGATGCCAGAATTTTATCACACAGTTATACAGGTTACACAGGTTACACAGGTTACACCACAGTATCTCACCGCAGATCTTGGGTCCTGACTGCGTGCAGCGCTAGCTCGACCGGGAGGTGGGCTGGTCCCGGTCACGGTGGGATGCCTAGGAACGATGTTGGGCCAAAGCGATTTGATCTGAATGATCTGAATGATCTGAATGATCTGAATGTCCGTTGAAGGACCTTGAGATTCTCGAGATGATATGATTCTGATTATCTATGATTGTAGAACGATACCGACGATACCATACGAAGTTTGAGATCCGCATACTGTGACAAATCCTTTTGATTCTGATCACAACCATGACAACCCATCCAAAAGACGCGCACTGTGAACGGGGAGGCTTTTCTCTCCATTTGCTCATTCTAAGATTCTACTGAGTCGCACCATTTTATACAATACTCTTAGATACATTAGATATCATTAGATATCATTAGATACTCTTAGTATCCCTTAGTCAATCTTAGTCATACTATGTCGTACTAGTTATAGATATCGCTGTAGAAGATTGCTGGATCCCATGGCAGGTGTCACAATGCTCTCCACAGAGACCAACCAATGTGGCCTCACAGGTGCCTCGGGTCACCCAAAAAATATGAAAAAGCTACATTCACAGAAGTTTTCTAAACTCAAATTATAGCAGTATAACAAGTCAAAAATTATTCGCAAACAAAAACATAAAAGACTACCTCATACAAGTCCCTAACACAAACCCCAAAATAGATTCGACATCCGAGTTTATAGGTTTGAGCATTTTACCCTTCCAACTTCCCACCGGTTGACTTATTTTTAGTGACACCCAGTCCTAAAACCTCAAAAATCCAAACCCAAACATGCTTAGCGTTCAAAGCAGTGAGACTTGAGCTTTGTCCCAAGCCAATCCAAAAACCGAGCCAATTTCCCCCAAACCGAACCAATTTTTCCCCAAACCGAACTTGTTTGTCCCAAAAACGGAGCCTGTTTTCCCCAAAAAAGGCACATGCTTTTCCCCAAAATCGGTGACGCATTTCCCCAAAATTGGTAACGGATTTCCCCGAAATCGGTGATGGATTTCCTCAAAATCCGTGACGGATTTCCCCAAAATCGGTGACGCATTCCCAAAATCGGTGACGCATTTCCCAAAATCGGTGATGGATTTCCCCAAAATCGGTGGCTGATTTCCTGAGAGCCCAGCCTCGTTAGCCGGAACCCCAGCTCCCAAAGCCAAAAAGTACCAAACGCATTTTTAAGTATGTACATACTTGCTCAAAACACAAAAACAATGAGGGATTTCCAGCCCGCAACCACTCGTGGAGCTTGCAGGAAAACACAAACGAGGGTGAACCTGTGGATTTCTTGCGTCAGCACGTTGAAATGTATTTGCAAACATGGCATGCTTCCATGCGTGTCTGGGTTTGATGTTTAGTTTCAAGCTTTCGGCACAGCGTTTGCAGATGAATTCCGGGGCAACAGCCCCTGCCGTGCAGCTCAGTCTTAGAGGGCCCAATTCAGAACGCATCGAACAAACAGTGTTGGGTAGCCAGAACGAAGAACTATTCCAAAAAAGTTGACAGAGCAGGGGTCGAAACTCAGTTTTGATTGCTTGATTGCGACCCTTTTTTCAGCGCAATGGCTTCCAAGAGAAGAGCTTCAGCTTCTTGTCTGCGTCTTGCTGCAATTAGTTGTTTTTTGGTCTGCGCCTTCCAAAATTTGACCTTCAGCATCCCAAAGCAGATAGAGGAAAGCGCCCAAAACAAAGGCATCAGTCCCGCCCAATACCTGAAAGATGTGAGCAACAGAGCAGAACTCTACCGAAAGAGCGATGCGGTTGCTGGGCGAGAGGAGTTTGTGAAGACATTGAATGAGGCAGTGCGGTTGAACTATCCGTTGTTTCTCATGAACTTGTTTTAATTCTGTTTGGAGTTTAGAGGTTCAGTATGGTTAAGGAAGTTTATGCGGTTATTAGACGGTTTTTCCTGTCCATTTTTGAAAAGACTTCAGCTCAGCTAAATTGTGATACAGTTCAAGATGTCACGCAACTTCGTCAGGCTATGGGAAAGTCTGGTTTGCACCTTGTCATTGGGGGCAAGTCCCTCAGAAAGACCAAAATTGTGCAGACCGTTGTTGACAATGCTGGCGATGAAGCTCCTTTGCTCTACGTCAATATGCGTCTCCCGAGCAAAGCCCAGTCAACGGATGCATTGGAATGTTTGCAAGAAGAAGCTAAGCGAAGATGGACCGGAAAGAATTTGCCATTCGGGGCAGAGCGGCTGGTTGCCGCCGGTTCTGCGGTTGTTGGAGCACTTGGCAAAGCGAACTTAAAGAAGAGTGACGAATGTGACGATGAGGAGATAGGAGAGGGTGCAGTGGAAACTCTTCTCTCTTTGTTTCTCAACATCACCAAGCCCGAGGAGTTCATCAAGGCTTTTGTTGCGGCAACAATGGCTGCAGAGAAGGTTCCAGTCATGATTGTTGATGAAGCCAACATCGCCTTTCCCAATGGTAACGGTGGGAATGGGAATGGCAGAAGAGAAGCAGCTTACAGAGCGCTCGCAGCCTTTGTGGCGCTGACAAAGGAGCAGGGGAAAGCGTCTGTTATTCTGGTTGCCTCTGACTATGCTTTCCCATTGGGACTACAAGCTTTTGGCTTCAACAAGTATGATGCTCTCAATACGATTGTAGCTCCGGAGGTTGAAGAGAAGCCTATGTTTTTTTGCTGCAAGAGTGGGGTTTGTCTCAAGACTTGGCACAGGAGCTATGAGCAACTTTGCACAGTATTTTTCCAAACCTTGCTTTTGTTAGCTCATGCTCGTGCAAAACAGGGTCGAATTTTGGTGTTCTTTGGTTGGGTGGATTTCTTGTAATCAGTTCATCACGGGATGTATGGGTCGGAACTGTGTGCGTGTAACGTCATGTCAAATCGGCATATTGCAAATGATTTTGTGTTGTGGGCTGGCAGGAGTTCTATGAGACCTTTGGTGGAAACGTTTTTCTGTGCCACCAGGCGGTCGACAAGCTCCGTGAGCAATTCGAGTTGGGTCAGGAGAGGCTCTTCGACCCCTTCAACGTCCGAGACAATGCCGGCTTAGATGACCTCATTGGTGACCCGCTCACTCGGAAGCACATGGAGAACTTGGCTCAGAAAGGATGGTCGCAAGTAGAGGGTGGCGCTGCAGAAGCGGAGACGGAGAGCCAGAAGGGTGCTCGCATCATCGCCAAGAAGAACTTCGGCGCCATCATCGCGAGACAGACCACTACTTTCTTTGACGAAGCCTTGAAGGAAGATATGTTCAGAAACCCAGATGCTGTGCGGGTTTTAATTCCACCAACTACATATGTACGCAAGTGCATCCAGCGGATGGTGGACACGGTGAAACCAAGCAACTTGGACTTCAAAGAAAGACTTTTCCTTTGGAGCAACCACTCGTCACTATGAGCCCCAGTCATTTTGCAGTTTGTTTCTCAATCTTTCAGGAGCATTTATCGGAAACGCGAACCATTTTTTCTCCATCCCTTCTCGGTTGAACATGTTGAACGCAAGGCATCACCAGACCACAAGCTGGAGCAGTGTGGGTGAGGGAGCTAAAGGAGGACAGGAGTGACCGGTGCCAGTCAGTTGCTCCACCAAGGAAGCACTATTGTATTGGGTTCTTCGATTTAAACAATCATGTCTATGCCAACTCAGCAGCAAACTACATGGATTGATGGTGTTAATGTAACTTTCCTCCCAAGCCAAACATGCGATTATGTGTAAGCCCGCTATGCAAAATAATACCGTGTCATTTTATGTTCTTGAGACAGCTCAGCACTATTTGGGGAGAAGATTGCAGGGTTGTTCATTCCTCAGGATTTGTTTAAACATATGTTCCAATAATCTTCCTGCGATTGATAGAGAGGATTTAGACTAAAGACTTTGTATGCTTTTCTGCCATGCCCTTGTTCCTTTGCTGTGCCCTTTTGTCTGTTCCCACCTCAACATCTCACCTTTTGAATGATACAGCAAGTGTTGAACAAGCAGCCTTGTCATCCCTATATGTTCCTTTCATGTGTTGCTTTGCATGGTTCGTGTGCTCAAACCGGTGTGGATTGGTCATGTTGATAAAGGTAGGGTTGTGTTCCATCATTTCTCCCACTCAAGCGTCAAAGGCCTTGTTATTTGCAAGAGCCACTGCCACAGTTTATGCCTTTGTTCCTTTAGGAAGTTCCTCTGACTAGTGTTAGGTTAAAATATAAGTGATTTGTTCACTCGCCCAGCTCCTGTTTGAAATTGCAGGACGGTGGAACATTCAAGGATATTGGCAACGCTTTCCAAGTCAAGGGAGAGTTGGCGAACGTAATGACCTTAACTTGGCTATGCCCTTCTTGCTGGCTTGTCATGCTTCACGTAATCTAACAACGTTTCCGATGTAGTCGGCTCAGCCACTCCATCACGTGTGCAAGGTTTACTTACCAAGTGATTTTGAATGTTTCATCCAAGTTGCCGCAGTCGACGGCTCGGTACAGTATTGCTTCGGTTTGAGGTTGATGACCTCAAAGAAGCCCAGTGCTTAGAGACCTCGTTCGAGTTCGCCTTCGTTGGACCTGACTGCGATTTCATTCAGGGCATCAAGAAGAAGGCGGAGCTCCCCGTCGCATCTTTCAAGATTGACATCTACAGCCTCAAGGAGAATTAGCGTCCATTTTCTTTCACAACACCTGACCCAACCCCTTTCACACCAGCGTCTCAAATTGCCTTTGCAGCATTGTGGTTTGCCAGTTTGCTCACGGCAGGATGGAAAGTGGATTAGGGAAGAAAAGATGTCGGCAAGCCTTCGGGACACGTCCGAGCCCGGCGCTTGGTGTTTTGTTTTGAGCAGCTTTTGCAATGCTTCGGTTCAGATTGATGTCATTGTTTACAACTTTCTGATGTATTTTTGTTCTTTTGCCGCCTCTGAGCATTCAGGTGGGACTGCTGTGGTTTCACGATACCATCAGCGTGAGTGTGAGTCTCAGCTTTCTTGGCAACCTGCAGTGGCTTGACGGTAATGGAGTCCCGTGGTCACAGTGACAATTTTTGGCTCTCATGAGGGTCTGTTTGTTGCTCTGTCGGCTTGAGGCTGTCGAAATCCAATGAGAGCACGAATGTGGGCGTGTATGTAGTCTATTAAAGTTTCGCTTCGTATCACAAAATCAGCACAGTTGGTCCAACTGTGCTGATTTTGTGGTTCGTTGTGGTATGACCTTGCGTCAATGATAGAGTATGCGTTGCACGTGGACAATTCCAACTTGGACTGAAGGGTTGGCTCTTCCTGGCAATCAGGTCATGCACGCAACGGGTGCAGGAGCAATGGCCCAAGAGCTGGTCATAGCATGTTTCATTCAGGCGATGCACATAGCGCCCAAGCACAGACCAAGCAACATACAGGTCCCTAAGAAAAAGACTTGTGCTTGATTTTGGACAGGCTTTCCTGGGAGTCGGAGCTTTAAATGGAAAACTAGAAGAAAAATTAAGGAAAATCTGTGGAAAACTAATGGACAAAGTTTTGGCAACTAAGGGTGCCTTTTCAACAGGCTAAACTCCTTGCAGTCACGAAAAGCATGCCACCGACTTATA